CGCGGGCTTTGAATTGCCGCGGGCTCGGCTTGGGGCTTTCCCCAGGAGTTGGATGGGTCCCGAGTGGCTTTGTCTACGGGGAAGGGGATCTTTTGGGTCTCACTCCCAAGCTGCTCTTGCTAACACCTGTTGCCAGCTCCCCGGCTCCCAACTGAGCTTTCAAAGCTCTGGCCCATTTATGCTGCAGTTACCTGTGCCCATACAGAGCCTGCTGGAGTAGCGGTCTGTTGTTACAGTTTTAGAGTTTGAGAAGGGAGAGAAGCAAAATCTCTGCTGTACATGCTTTCTATAGTGCCCTAAACAGCAAAGATGGAGAGCTGTCCTTAAGCCTGCTATTTTTCAGGAAAGCTTCTTGCCTTTTATTGTTAATAGGCGACGAAATTAATATGGAATTAGGTGAGTAAACTCCTGATGTTGCTAGAACTCATTTAAATTTAAAACACTGTAAAGATGGAGTTATTTACCAGAGGGTTTCAAAGAAGTACTGCACAGCTGTAACCTAAGACCTTCAGTACATGATCGAATTAAATACTCAGCTTCTTGGTTAATGTAACACCACTCATTTAAAGAGGGAGATAATGGTTTGGATCTGCTTTTTTTTTTTGTATATTGCTAGTACTGAGGAAACAGTAGTTTGTGGGTAGTTTGGGAACTTTCATCTGAAAATGCTGTGATTCAGTCTTAATTTGTGTTGTCATAGCTCTGCAGATGATAGAAATTTTTTAATTAAGTGCAGATATTTTATGATACAATTACATTCTTAAATTAGCCAACCCCAGAATTGCTGTAATTTTTCGTGTTGAACAGTGTATATTTATTGAGTACCTTTCATTTGGCTAATACCATACATACTTCAGCCAGTCTGGTAGTCAGTGTAATTTATTGTTTACCTAGAGCATGGTATGTCCCGTTGAGTAAGAACAAAGGAGGAAATAGTACTTTAGGCACTGCTTTTGTGTTTTCACTGTGCTAATAATGACCTTATTCTTTTGTGTCTCCTAAGGATAGAATGTAATCATTATTTCGTATAGATTGAGCAGTTCAGTTCTTGAAAAACTGTTGTAATAGTATAGACATATAGGTCACGTTGTAAGAAAGTAAATCTTATCGGGAAATATTTATGAAAATTTGTTAGTACATCAGCACGATGTTAATCTTAACCATTCACTAAAGCAAGTGATGTTTGGATTTTTCTTGGTTGGAGAAAGCAGTTACACTTTGGAATTTTATTGGAGAGTACAGTAAATTTTGCTAGAATTTACATTCTGACCTCTAAACTTTGTGATAGTATTCAAGTATGTAGTAAGTATCCAGTACCATTGTAATCTGTCATGGATTTAACCAGAAATTTAGAACTGAGTAAAAAAAATTTTCATCTTTCTGCATAAGCATTGAGTATCCTCTTGAAGATTTAACGCATTATGCCACTGTTGCCTGACACCCTGAGTGAAGCACCTGCACATTTGTGCCACTGGTCATGTTACATGTTGGGGGGGTATATAACTAAGTATCCTATTGATGTTAAAAATCCACTATATTTATAAAGTTAATTTTCCTAAATGTTCTCTATCTCTAAAAGACTTGTTTTCATTTCTTTGGAATGCTTTTAAATTTTCATTAATTTATGCTGTCATACCTTTTTGGCTGTGATGTTTTAAATCTAAATCTAAGAATTCTGTTTTGTTAAAATGTTTTGCATGCATTGAGCATGCTGAAGCTGGAACTTGCTTCTGTTGTATTGAATGTAATTAATTAATATAATGTTTCATCCATAAAGCACCTAAGAAGTTTAGTAAACACTAGTGTGTTTTTAGAATATCGTGTCAATAATTAGCTTTGATAACCTTATTTTTAGTAAAAAATGGAAGACTAAGAAACACAAAGAATTCTTGATTATTAAATTTAAAAGTGCTTAGTTTCTTTCTTGAATTACATTAGAAAAGTTTCCTTAACTACTGTTTGTTCTAGAAACTGGAACAGCTCAATCAGTATCCGGATTTTAACAACTATTTGATTTTTGTTCTTACAAAATTAAAATCTGAAGGTAAGTAGGGTTTGTCCTACTCAAAAGTGTCTTTAAGACCTATGAAGATATATTGGGAATTACTCATTTCCCAAGGTTTCATTTCATAGTATCACATCCTTAATATATGTGGGGTATATAGTCTGAGAGTGAGTATCACTCCAAGCATTTAGATATTTACTAAGCATTCAGTTGTTAATTGGGTGTTTATATAATAAATTTCCTCATTCTTTGCAAGTGAAAAATGTTGCAAGGTCTACTTTGGTTTAGCTTATACATGAATATAATAAAGATTGATTTAATCTACAGGTTGAATGTAGGTTTTAGTAATTAACTGAATATATGTGTGTTCACTGCAGGAAAAATTGAAGTCATGTAACTAAAACGAAAAATCACATCTCACCCAGAGATAATTACTGATCTCTTGAACTGTAAATCTATACACTCTTATGTGACTGTATATTACTTTTAAATTCAACAAAAACTGGAATTGTTCTATTGTAAATAAACTTATAACTTAAAATCTTAACAGTATGACTTTTTTATTAACTGTTACAATTTTAAATTTAAAGTACTTTTATGACTTTTTTTCTTGGTACTGAAGATCAAACTCTGGACCTTGTAACCATTGGGCTAAATGCTTGGCCCCTTTTATGACAATTTAAAGCCTACTTTTCTGATCTTTAAGTGATGTGGTCATCTGACTTATTTCTAATACAAGTAATATATCTCAGTGGACTCTATTTCACATCTATATTGAGCACCACCTCTTGCAGGCTTATGCAAAATAATGGAAAACAAAACAAAGATCCCTGCCCTCAAGGAGCTTATATTGTAATAAGTATTTTTCATGGTATTACTTAAGTATTAAATATTCTTTTCCTGGAACACTTGTCAGACACGTGGAAGACAATTTTCTTGCCAGTTGACTGGCCTTTAAAAGCACCATCCTCCATTTAATGATTAGTGCCTTTGAAGCCACAGTGAAAACACTGACTTGGCGTTGTAAAATAGCAAGTTTTGTTTAGATACTGACACAGAGTTGTTTAACCTCTCTTGCTTCTTTCAGCTATAAAATGCCTGTGTTAGACAACCAGACCATCTGTAAGATTTCAACTCCAACCTCTAGCAGGTTAATGGTTTTAATGTGTGGTAAAATTATACAAATCTTATATTTAGATTTTGATAATTGATACACATTTTAGTGATTTTTGTTTTCAAATGATTTTCAAGCTAATTTTGTGGGGTTTTTTCTGGGGGGTACCAGGGATCAAACTTGGGTCCTTGTGCTTGCGAGTCAGGTGGCAAAACCACTGAGCTAAATCCCTGGACCTTGTGGATTTTAATTAGTGATTGAGGAAATCAATTTTAAAATTATAAATCTAGATTTTAAAAAGTAGAAATTATTTCAGCATATACTTAAAATCCACAATTAATACCCTTAGTTTGGTAAATACATTTACAGCCCCCACATTGAACTCAGGACCTTGCACTTGCCAGTCAAGCGTGGTGCCACTGAGCTAAAGGCCCCTCTCCCCTGCCTGCCTGCCATACCTTCTTTCTTAGTATAAGAATTTTCCTCTAGTTATAATCAGTAATCTGCACTTGGAACTAGGGTGTACTCAGTGCTAGAGCACTTACATGTGTGAAGCCTTAGCTTCCATCCCCAGCATCACAAATAAATAATCCACATTATTGGATTTTTTTTCCCTGCCCTCCCTTCACCCCCTCCTCCCCTCCCCATCTATAAACACTTTATCTTCATCTTTTCATTATCTCACATTTTTTTCTTTTCCCTTATTACCCTTCCCCTACCCATCCCACCTTCCCTACACCTTTAGCTCCTTTCTTCCCATTTCTCAGTGTCAATAATCTTACTAGGATCTTCTGTATTATTGCAGATTATTCACACCAGAGAAACTATTCGGTATTTACACATGTGTGCCTTACACATTATTGGATTTTTTTAAAAAGAACTAAAATATTTAATAAATGAAAATTTGTAATCTATTGACTTGAAATTTTTAATTCATTAAGCTATTCTGTCTTGTTACCCTAGATTCCTAATAATTTGTTACAGTATTATACTTACAAAAGCATTATTGCTGTATAACAGTACTTCAGAGGTACTTAAAAATATACAAATAGACAAAAGAGTTTAGTGAAGCAGTTACCTCCAAAAAAAGGTATTAATTACAAAACCCAAAAATATTAAAGGAACTTATTAACATTTTCTTGAACCTAAAATGTATTTCTTTTGTTCATTAGGCACGGTTTCTCAAAGGACATAAGGATCTTATATTTGTGTAACTCTTTATTTCTTATTTTGATCCATTTATTTTTTCCTGGGGAAGATTGGGGTACAAGTTTGCCATATGTAGTTTTCTTTTAAAAAAGAGAGGCCATCCACATACATAAGTAGCATCTTTTAAGTGAAAAATGCTTACTTAGTAATCTTACTGCTGAATCATGGAGTATGATGTTAGATCCTGAAAAGACCTGAGATGAGTTGCTTTAATTCTGTCACTATAAGCGAGCAGATTAAGGCATAGTGAAATTATAAGATTTAGAAAGAAATGGTTAGTGGTTTTCTAAAGTCGATTTTAGACAGAGGGTATATACTTTTAACTATAAATTGTTTCACCCTTGTAGTTTATTAAGAAGTCTTCATCTTGCAGTATTTATTGTAAAAAAACAAATATGCATGTCATGTTAAATAATTACAGTGGCTAATTAAAATAAGTTGTGATTGAAAATAGGAACTCTTGACAGGATGACAAAAGCTCTTAGGTTATATTGTTGTGGTAACCTGAAGAGGATTTATATGCAGAGAAGCTTCTCTCTTTACCTCTATATATGCTTTACCCTTTAATATTTCAATACCAATCAGAATTTGGGTGAATAATACTAACTAGAACAAGATCCAGATATTTACTTTTAAATAAGGTAGATAAACAATGTTGCAGTGGTACCTTTTATTCCACATATCAGTTTTTCCAGTCCTTTGAAAGGAAGGTAGTACTGTAGAGTAGTTCTGAGTGTGTATTGTGGAGTCAGACTCCTAAGGTTATAATATGATGTCCTTGCTTAGTAGCTGTATGTAACTTTGGCACAGATCTTAGTTTCTTCACTTGTGTAATGAAGTAAATAATACCTGTCTCACAAGGTTGTAAGATTTAAGTGCACTTATAATTCTAAAGCACTTAACAAGGGTTTAACACATAATAATCATTTAGAAGATGTTAACTTACTGGTGGTGATACCAATTAAAGCATATGTTATATTTTAACATTAAATTGTCTTTTGAAAATTTAACATTATTAATGGCCTACACTTAAAAGTAAATTTTAGGGCTGGGAATTTAGCTCACGGTGCCGTGCCTGCCTGGCTAGTGCGAAGTCCTGAGTTCACTTCCCATTACCAGCGGGGGGAGAAGTAAATTTTATTTTTAGATATTTTTGGAAAGTTTTGCTTTTCTTAAGCAAAAGGCAAGAGAAAAACATAAATTAAAAGCATTTGTGTTTGTTATGTGAAGTGACCCTGAATGTTCATTGTCTGCTTAATTTTTTAAATTATTTTTAGTGACTAGTAAGATCCTCAGTGATGTTTAGTGGCCAATGTATTAGCTAAATTAACACATTAACTCTTAATGTTAATGGTTCTCAGCAAGGAGCAGCCTTTCCCACCACCCCAGATATTTGGCATATCTGAAAATATTTTTGGTTTTAGCAGTAGGGCTGGGGGGGCTACTGTTAGATCTGTGACCAGAAATGGTGCTAAATATCTTGGAGTGTACTGGACGGTATCTCACAACTTAGAATTAGCCTTAAAATGTTAATTTTGTGAAGATTAAGAACTTAGAACTATAAATTAAACAGCTAATTTTTTTATAATCGTTTGTGACTTTTTTTTCTTTTACTGGTGGTAGAAAGATAAATTGGAATGTTGTGATCAACCTCTGAATATAAAGCACTCTTCTTGCCACTTTTTGAAATGAAAACCCCTTTAAAATTCTACGGCTTTATTACAGATGAACCCACAAGATCATTGAGTGGTCTCATCTTGAAGAATAATGTGAAAGCACATTTTCAGAACTTCCCAAATGGTGTAACGGACTTTATTAAGAGTGAATGTTTAAATAATATCGGTGACTCCTCTCCCCTGATCAGAGCCACTGTAGGTAAGTTGTATATAAAAATTTTGCTAATGTTGTTGATAACTGGGTTGTTTTTGAGCTGACATTGATTTCATGGGAATTTTTGTACCTATTTCACATTATGTTGTGGTAGAGACATTTTCGTTGCTATTTAAATGCTTTTGAAAGTATTATTGATTATAGTAAAGGCTCTCTTACTCAGTGAGACCAAGGTCATTTAAAGTTGCTTAGTCAGAGTTGGTTATGTTGAGGCCATCAGCAAATGATATTTGGGACCATTGCCTTTTCTTTGGATATATGCAGATTGAAGTTCCTTCCTGTCTGCCTTGTGTAGTGCCAAGAGGTATCACTAGCAAGAAAAAAAAATTTTGTTTTATAAAAGCAGTCTTTTAAGTATAGGATCTTAAAATTTTGTTTGCTCTTTCCTTTTATTTCTCGTATTTGCCTGGTCTACCCAATTAGCAATTTTTTAGTTTTTTTTTCAGTGCATAGCTTGTTTTTAGGGAAAGAACAACTTTCAGTTCATATAATGTTAATTATACTGAAATAAATCAATTTGGGAGCACATTCACGTGGCTAAGCACATGTAGGGGTGGCAGCAGGACAGCTATACTCCAGAGTAGCCTACTAATGGGCAGCATTCAGCACACAGTGGCGTTTAGCAGCTGTATTTTGCAAGGACCTGGAAAGCTAAATTAAGCAAGTTGGTTGAACAGAAGTCAGTGCAATGAGTCAAGCTCTTTCATTCAAAGTTCCTTAGTTTATGTATTTTGTATTTTAATATGAAAAGTGCTGTTCACCTCTTATAAGGCAGAGGCTCTGATTTCTCTCCACATATTTTCATATTAAAGAATGGCATTATTAATACTGGATTCAAATTTGATGTGTAGAAGAGATTTGCAGTTTGAAAAAAGTAACTCCCTCAGTTATTCTGCTGTACCCTCTTGAGGGCTTACCAACTCTTGACACAGGTAAAAAGTGGTGAAGTGTATGCCAACCTTTTCTGTTTAAAATCAAGGAATAAGATCCCCATACATGTAGTGGGATGAGATTTTGAAACTGATAGGCTTCCTTGGAGACAAAGCAGTTCAGCTGAGAGGAAAGGAGAGGACAGGATGTACATATTATGAGATTATTTTCTCCCTAAACTGTATCTCATTAAAAAACCTATCTTTTTGAGTACCATTTTGTCCAGACTACAGTACTTCACATCTTAAATTTTGAAAGGCTAGAAGTAATCATATTGGGGAGAAAAGAACTGATGTTATCTTATGAGTGCTGGATTTCTTTTACCTTTCCTAAAAGTTTTTGGACATGCTTAGGATTTAGATTTAGCTTAGGGAAATTATTTTTCTTCTTGTGCTAGATATCATTCCCATGGCCTGGTACATGCTGAGTTATCACTGAGCTATATCCCCAGCCTAGAATTATTTAAATACTTATATGTTTCATTTGACTTCTTAATTTAAAATAGGTAAATTGGCATGCCTAGCCATATTTTTTATTTCTTGATGCCCATTTGTAGAGTATGAAAAATCCTTGGTTTTAGTTCATTTATATGTATTTAAATATCCTAATTGTTAGAAGCCATGAACGTGTCCATAGAGAAAGCAATCAAATAGAGTATTTAGTTACTTGCTTTACTCAGCTTCTCTAAAAACATGTAAAATAATGAATTTCAGATACAGCTGCAGTATATTTCCAAACTACATACCTGGAATTTGTTTTGCTTTATTTTTTGATACTGGGGATCAAACTCGGGTCCTTGCACTTCCAAGTCAGGCTCTGGAATCACTGAGCTAAATCCCCAGACCCATACCTGGAATTTGATAAAACACTTGGGAATATGAAAGTGGGTTTGGGTAGAAGTATATATGAAATGACAGTTAACTGTATTGATGCCTATTGTTACAGCTGGGTAATGAATATATTCAGTTTATTGAATTTCTTTCTTTTTTTTTTTGTACCGGGGATTGAACTCAGGACCTTGTCCTTGCAGGCCAGGTGGTGGCACCACTGAGCTAAATCCCTGGCCTCTCTACTTTTTTATATAGGATATATATCTCTTATCTTTTTTTTTTTCAGCTTTAATTGAGTTTATTGGTACGTTTTAGGGATACAGTACAGTTACATTCATTGGTGGGATCTTGTACCTCTTATCTTAAATGCTTGTAACATAAATGCCTCAGATTTCAGAATTTTCTGGACTTGGAACATTTGCGGACTTTACCTGTTGAGCCTCCTTCATCTAAAATCCAAACTGCTAGAAATCTGAATCTTTTGTGTGTTATAAAGTTTCTATTTTAAATTTTCAGGTTAGGGTTATAAATATGTGTACTTTTCCACTTTTAAAAAAATTAGTAAAATCATCCAAAATAAGAATAATCATAAGTTGAAATAAGTTAAGCAGTTTGGCCAGTTAAATTATCTGCTTTACTTTTGTTCTTTGCCATTCCCCGCTTTTAATACAGATTAGAGAAGGTGGTAGGAAAGTAGGATTCACCTATAGAAATTCCTCCCAAAAGGAGAGATTTGGCGGTACAACATTAACATATTTTCTGTTGTCCTTGTTCTGTTTTCTTTTTTTGTTTCTTCCAGAGTATCACCTCAAAATTGGGGTGCTTTTTACTTTTGATAAAACTAAATTTTTTTTTTCTTCAGGAAAAAGTGATGGGCTTATTATGTAAAACATTGTTGCTTTCCAACAACTAAATATAGAAAAATTTTTTTAATCTCTTAAGTTTTAGTTCATATTTTAAAAACCTAAAATGCTTGTAGAGACATTTTATAAGTAAAATAATTTTTGTAGGTTTCTGAAAGGTACCTTGAATTGAAAGCCAATTCATCACTCATCAACCTTAGAAAATTAAGTTGTTTGTTTTTTTTTTTTTACTACTGTAGCATAAGTATACTGCATCATTAAAGTAGCATTGTTTGTTTAAACCAAGGTTTCACAGTCTCAGCAGTTGATATTTTAGACTAGATAATTCTTTGCCATTGGGCTATTCTGTGCATAAGATGTTTTGTTTTGTTTTTGGTACCGGGGATTGGACTCGGGACCTTGTGCTTTCAAGGCAGGTGGCAGAACCACTGAGATAAATCCTTGGCCCCTGTGCATAAGATGTTAGTCAGCATTCCTCGCCTCTACCCACTGGGTGCCAGTAGAAGCTACATCCTCTGTTAAACCAACTGAAAGTGTTCGTGAGCCGTGCATATGGGATGGAGATGGAGGTGTACCTGACTGAGCTCCTTAAGGGCACAAGCCATGTGTTATTTTTTTTATTATTTCTCACACTTAATACAATATTTACATCACATTAAAATCTTAGTAAATATTTTAGCTAAGAGTTCTGATTGTAAAAGTAAATTTACAGCTTTGGTTGTTTTGTTCTGTTTGGACTGGATCCCTCACTGTGTTGCCCAGGTTAGCCTCCAACTCTTGGGCTTAAGTGATCCTCTTGCCTCAACTACCTAAGTAGCCGGTGCTACAAGTGTGTATCACTGCACTCAGCCTTAAAATTTCTTTCAGTCTTTTCAATATGTAGAGAATCTTGCCAGGGAAATACATTTGGAAAGGATCATATTTTAATGACTAGTAGTCCTTTGGATAAATGTAATTTGATTATCTTATTAAGGAATGTATGATTTGTAATTTTATTATTTCCATCAGTATTTTAGTATTTCCATCATTTCCTTTCACAAACTTATATACTTGTAGGAAAGTTTCTGTAGGTTTAATTCATAGAAGTGGCATCATTGGATCAGGGTGTTGTTTAAACATTTAAGATTTTAATAGGCATTGCCAGTTGCACCAGTTTTTGTTCTATATTGGTTCTAAACTGAAAATTACCTATCACTTTTCCCTTTTTGCAGCTACGTTAGTTATTAGATTTTTCAGGAATTGAAATTGTGGGGCAGATAAATCTGGAATTTATCAGTATTGGCATTCTTTAATTCTTACTAGAAGTAATGAATGTCAGTGCTGTTAGTACTAAATTGTAGATCGTTTCTAATTTGTATATTTAAGATGTGCTTGTTTTAGTGTTTTTGTTTTATTTTTTGAAGGCAGATTTTCCCTCTTTTTTTTTTTTTTTTTTTTTTTTTTTAAAGAATAATTTGCAAGAAGGATCAGGGCTTGCTGCTTTTGAATTTACTGAAGTACTGTTTTATTTCTAAGAGTTACATCTTAAAAATGCTATCGGTCCTTACTATTTAATTTTTTTTCCTCAGTAAATATTTGGCAACAGCTTTATTTATTTTTAAGTTCTTTAATTTTTTTTTTTGTATTTTGTCTTAAAGAATAATTGGCAAGAAGGATCAGGTCTTGCTGCTTTTGAATTTACTGAAGTACTGTTTTATTTCTAAGAGTTACATCTTAAAAATGCTATCGGTCCTTACTATTTAATTTTTTTTCCTCAGTAAATATTTGGCAACAGCTTTATTTATTTTTAAGTTCTTTACCATTGGGAAGAACCTTCTTAAAACTAAACCTTTTCAGGCCGGGGATTTAGCTCAGTGGTGCTGCCACCTGCCTTACAAGTGCAAGGACCCAAGTTCAATCCCTGGTACCCCCCCGCCAATAAAACATAAATCTTTTCAACTGAAGGTCAAAAATTCAAAGAAAGTTCATCTACACAGTGTGATTTGCTGTTCAGTAATTACTGTTTACTAGATGGTCGGCATTTTACATATGTATCATTGACTTTTCAAGATAGCCCTTTGAAGAAAATACTTAATCATTTTTAGATTAGTACTTTGCAGTTTAGAGTATGTATAACTTGCCTAGTGTTAATTTATATCCTTATGGCACTAAAGAAAATCATAATCACCAGGAATATTACATTACTGATAGTATATTTACAAGGCTGACTATACAGTGTAACTGCACTGCACAGTTGAAATAATAGTCACCCAAAATAACATGATCAGTCAGCTTTGTACCGCCTAGCCTCAGAGATCCAATATGGCCTTTCTGATGTTTCATCCTTGAATCCAGTAAGTAGGGACTGTTGTTGGGTTCTGTCGCCTGTCTACACGACCACATGAAGCTAGTCTGATTGTTCTAGTGGTTCTCCTCTAGCTTTATTTTACCCTTCCATTGCCCTTGGCTGTGATCTCAAGTTAAGTCAGGGAGCTGTTCTTATACTTCTTGATACTGTACATCTTTTTTTTTTAAACCTTACAGACTTAGACTCATCACTCAGTGATGAGTGCTACTAATAACATTTTAATATGTTTTCTTGCTCCCTTTTGTAGTAAGTTTTATAACATTAGAGTTAAATTTTAATTAGCTATCCTTGGTATTGTTGGAGAAAACCTAGTTGTAATCTTTTGTAGAGATACTGAGTAAATTTTTGTAAGAAGCTTACAGAGATGTAATGTTAGGAAACATCTAATTCATGCTACGGTTTTTCCATAGATTATGATGTGATGATATGGGAGCTGTTAATGTTATTATTTAATGGTATGGAAACCTGATGCTGATGTAGATATTTAAGTGTGTGTTACTCATGTGGCCAGCTTTCTTGAAAAGTATTTTTTTTCTTTCAAGGTATTTTGATTACCACCATAGCTTCTAAGGGAGAATTGCAAAATTGGCCTGACCTCTTGCCAAAACTCTGTAGCCTGTTGGATTCTGAAGATTACAACACCTGTGAGGTAAAGCTATTTGTTTCTTGTGATATGTTTTTTAGGGTTTTGTTTTGGGGTGTCCTTTGTTGGTTGGTTTGGCTTTTTTGGTCATACTGTTTATTAGCACTCTTTGGGAAAATATTTCCTCTGAAACGTACAACTTCAAAATAAAAGTCTAAAGTTACCTTTGTGTTTTATGTTTATTTTCACTGTTTTACTATTAACTATGCAGAATACTGCTGCTGGTGGAGTTCGAAGCAGTAAAGTTAAGTGGTTGAGGTAGCTGGTAGATTGTATACTATGTTCAACAGTTTTGGATTTATCCCCTTTGGGTTAAAGGGCAGGTTTTATCACCAGTTATCCAATAAATGCTTTATATGTCATTTTAAAAATGTTATTAGTGATTTCTTTTTGGGGTTTTGTTTGTTTGTTTTTGAGACAGGATCTCACTGTGTCATTCAGGCTGGCCTTAAAGTGGCAGTGATCCTCCTGCCTCAGCCTCCTGAGTACTGGGGTTATAGGTGTGTGTCACCACCTGGCTTAATGAGTTTTTCATGTGCTTCAGAAAGTGTCACCATGATTAAATTCACTTGTATGAAAATAGTTTTACATTCATTTTAGCATTAGAGAAAAAATTAACATTGACGTAAAGTTGACAAAAATATTTCAGTAGAGTTAGATTTTTGGATAGGTTAAATATTTTTTCATCCTTGCCAACTAGAATAGTCTCCAGTTCAGAATTATTTAATGGAAAATTTAAACTGAGTTTTTTTAGATACTTGTTTAATTTGTTTTAAAATTGAATATTTTTTTATGGATTTTAGAAGGCAGAATTTCATGTGCTCTGAGAACAGTAATGCATATAAATTAGTTGATGTTCTTTAAATATTTTTAATGTTTTGGGTTTTTTGTTTTTATTGGTGCATATTGGTAATACAGAAAAATGAAATTTGTTTTGGTATATTGGTACATGAAATAATATATTTTGATTATTTCCATCTCTATTCCTCCCTCTCATTTCCCTCTCCCCTCTGATCCTCTTTCCCATCTCTGAAAGTCTGCCTTCTAGTTTTGTGTCATCTATTTACTTTTCTAAATTTTTAGACTGGCTTATTTTTCTTAACAGGGTGATCCTCATTTCCATCCATTTTCCTGCAGGTGGCATGCTTTTCTTCTTTTTAGTAGCTGAATTAACACCCCATTGTGTATATATGCAGTGCATTTTCTTTATCTATTCTGAGCACCTATGCCAATGGTGGTGAACCTATGGCACACATGTTATTTTATTTTTAAGAAGAGATGTTAATGTATGAATTTTTTTTTTCTAAACAAAAAAAACCTCAGTATTCAGGTTTAATTGCTGTGTTGGCACTTTTCAATAAATGGTTTGGGGTTGCAATTTGGGCACTCGTCTCTAAAAGGTTCACCATCACTGACTTAAGGCAATTTGTGTTGCTCAGCCATTCTGAACTGTGCTGCTATAAACATGGGTAACATTGCTTTTGTTTTTAATGAATTTTAATATCTCTTTTTTACAGGGAGCATTTGGTGCCCTTCAGAAAATATGTGAAGATTCTGCTGAGATTTTAGATAGTGATGTTTTAGATCGCCCTCTCAACATCATGATTCCCAAATTTTTACAATTCTTCAAGCACAGTAGCCCCAAAATAAGGTATTTACGTAGGCAGTGTTAATTTATGATATAAGTCTGACCACTCCCCTACTTTGCATACCCAATATTTTTGTGATTAGTGAAAGAAACAGCTATTCTACAAAGGTAAACATACATAATAGAAATTTCCTGCTTTAATAACAAATTCCATAAGATGCTGACTCTTCCTGGTGAAAATTTTAATTTGATATAGTTCTCTACCTTCAGAATGATTAATTATATTCCTAATAGTTGTGTTCTTGTAAGCTCTTTTGTTGAAGGTCAAGGTTAGTTAAGAATTATATCCTCTTTCTTTTATACTCCCATTTTTAGGTCCAAGGCTAACCTGTTTTCTGCTTTTGTTCTTGTGTTAAGTAACTGAATGGATTTTAATGAAAATGTGTTCTCATTAGATTATTAAGAATTTAAGAGTAGGGCCAGGGATTTAGCTCAGTGGTTCTGCCACCTTTCTTGCAAGCACAAGGACCCAAGTTCAATCCCTAGTACCCCCCCCAACAAAAAAAAAGAATTTAAGGGTTGAGCTAGACATTGTGGTGCATACCTGTAGTCCCAGCATTCAGGAGGCTGGGGCAGAAGGATTACTGTGAGTTCAAGGTCAGCCTGAACTATAAAGGGAGATCCTGCCTCCAAAAAAAGGTCGGGGAGAAAGAAAGAATTTAAGGGTTTTACCTCTAAATTTATTGGAGAGGGAGAGCATTTTAAACACAAAGTAGCAGAATTTTTTTTAGTATACTGTCAAATCACATGGTAGGTCTAATTAGCTAATACAGAAGTTGACCTAATCTTAGTTCACCTCTGAATCCCTACTTTCTACTTTCTAAGACAGTTCCTGGCATGTAGTTATCAAAGTATTAATGTTCACAATATTAACCTTTGATTAAGTTTATTGTTATCAGTCGTCCTATCAAGTTATAATCATCATGATATCTTCATAAAAGTTGAAGTTTGTGAGACACTTATGTCACAAAATGTTCCCATTCTACTGAACTTGTTCTGTTTTGGATGCAGTAAAATAATTTTTTCTAACTTATTTCTATAGAAAACATTCCTTTTTTCTAATTGTCAGTTGTATTTGTTGTGGTTTCTAGTTGGTCAGTATTTCACATTTTGTGTGGGGGGGGTGGGGGGTGTTTTGGGGATTTTGTTTGTTTTATTTTGTTTTTTTGGTACCAGGAATGAACTCATGACCTTGCCCTTTTGAATGCAAGTAACAGCACCACTGAGCTAAATCCCCGGCCCTCATATTTTTAATATTCTTTTTTATGATAATCAAATTTCATATTACTACTTTAATAGAAATTGTTGCTTAAAGTAAGTTATTAAGGAGTCCAGGTCATGAACTGTAGTGCACAGACTGTTAGTTAGGCTTCAGAATTCCAAGGTGTATTCCAGAGTTAGGGTTTCAGAAGTGTTACTGAGGGTGAACACAAATGTATTTCTTAAATTCTGTGTTACTTCTTTCTCTTTTATATATCTTAACTGTGTTCTGCTCATAATGGAAACTAACTTTGCAGTAGTGTCATTTGCATAAGTAGTGCATTTTCAAAATGCTGCTCTGGCATAGTCAACTAGATAGAAGGTTATGTTCTTAGGCATTCTCCCCCTGTTAACATTTTAATTATGGTGATATACAAACTTCACATCACTTCTAGGAATCTTTTTCCTGGCCAATTCTCATATTTTAAAAGAAAACAAAATCCGTAAGAACATTGCTGATGCTTGATACACTATAGATGGGTATTAAATATAATAAAACATTGCTTGATCATTTAAATTTTGCTAGATGATCCTTTGATGAACTCTATATATAGAGTTCAGCAATACAGAAATGTTTCCATTCAGTGAAAATTCTTTGTAACCCCCTTGGGATTCTGTTTTATTTCTATTAGCATCTTTATAATGTATATTTGGGTAGATAACTATCTGCTGTGTAGTTTAAGCACTAAACATTCGTCTTTTTGTGACTATATTTGCATTATACTACATTACTATTTAATATCTTATTAATATAGTTTAACTGGTACTATGTGCCTTGTGTGGGATGGAAAGGTCTGGAAATTGAATCCAGAGCCTTGGAACTGAGTTACATCCCTGGCCCTTTTTTTAGAGGTTTTTGTTTTGTTTTGTTTTGTTTTAATTTTGAGATAGAGTCTCACTGAGTTTCCCATGCTGGGTTGAATTTGAAATTCTTCTACCTCAGTCTCCCAGAGGGCTGTGCCACCATAAGCAATTTACTGTCTACTCTTCAAAATATTTTTCCCTCTCAGACAACTTTGGATTTAGGGAATACATTTTGAGGCATTGTCATTATACATCTGCATTCCAACTTCATGTTTCCCTGTCCTTTCTTTCACAATAATTTTATCAGGGCCAGGATTTAGCTCAGTGGTTGTGCTGCCTTCCTCGCAAGCACAAGGCCTGAGTTTGATCCCCGGTACCAAAAAAACAAAACAACAACAACAACAACAAAAAGCAAAATAATTTTACCACACGTGTATCCAAATTGTATAAGTACTATAAAAATGTTCAGAGGATTATAAAAATGGCTTTATGTTACATGTAGTCTCTGGGGTCTTTATCCAATATTATGTTGCTAAGGTTTATCAATATTTTGTCACTGTAGCTCATTTTTTTTGACTAATATGGAATATTGCCCTTTGCTACTATGAATAATGAATACTGCTGCCAGTACCGAACTTTTCTGAAGAGGGCCACCATTTTATATTAGCAGGATTTAAAAGACTTGTGACTAGGTGATAAGTATTTGTTATTGTTACACATTTAAAGTGTTGCTAATCAAATTGATATAAAATAGTATTTCATTATTGTATTGATAGTATACTTTCAGTAAGGATGTTATGTTACTAACTACACGTTAACGTTTTTATATTATATTTTGTCCTTTCATTTCTGTTGGGTTGTGTTCCATTGTCTTACAGTAATTTTCAAATTAAGTTTGTTTTGGTGTTTGAATGCTTAATATATCTGGTGTGAAATACTTGGCTTGTGAAATACTTTTTTTTCTTTCTATTTAAAGAAAAAGAATTATTTTTTTCATTTTTATTTTTTGAGATATCATCCTTACTATGTTGCCTGGATTGGTCTCTTAACTCCTGGGCTGAAGTGATCCTCATTCCTCAGCCTTTTGTAACTGACTATAGCCACACACTACATTTCCCACTCTTTTCCGTTTTACCAACAATTTTTGCCTAGCACATTCATTAAAATAATATATCCTACCCACTGATTAAAATTTCAGTTGTCATACGCAGTTATGCATAGGTCTGTTTATGAACCCTCTATGTTATGCTAATGCTGTTTAATGACCATAGCTTCTGATTATATTTTAAAGCAAAACTTTGAACTTTTAAGACAAAAATGTACCAGTATTTAAAATAGTTTATAACGTATTAGAATAAATTAAACAACAGAAAGAGCTGGATAGATTAAACATTAAGAGCTCAAACTGTGAGGATAAATTTTCCTTTTTTTTTAAAAACAGTTGGTCTCTGAAATATCTCAGCTTGGAAGAAAACGTTGATAGTATTACTATTTATAATAAATACATTTATATTCTGTCCTAGAATGGAATGAAAATGATTAATAAGATGTACAGTTTCACAACATAGGAATTTGTCATTTGAAATAATCATAATTTATTTGAAGAGTTTTTTCAAAGACAAATGTGTTTAAGAATGGCAAAGCAACATTTGTCCTAAAATATGCAGACATTCCAGGTTGAAAAATAAGAATTTAAATATTCTTCACTTTGAAAAATTTATTGAGATTATGTAATACCTCAGTTTCCTTCTAAAAATTTCTTTCCAGTTTAGAACTATTATCTAGAGAAGACTATAGATAATTTATTTTTCAGGAAAAAATGCCACTTACGTGTTAGACACATCTGGTTAAACTGATTACAGAACATGAATATGTATTAGAAGTAATTTTTCTGCTTTTATACTGCTTAATCAGATAATCAATGTGAAGTTTTCATGTTTTACATGCACAGATATCCATAGGGTTTCAGAGTTGTCATCTACATTTTTGGCCTAAATTTGACAGCTTTTGCCCTGGAAGTGATATTTAGAGCTTAAGGTGTGAACAGTAAGGATGCCTTTTCCTATAAACTCGAATTACTGAGTTTTATGAAAAAAAAGTTGTTGAAATTTACATTGAAATTGTGTTGAGTCTATAGATTCAGTTAGGGAAAGTAAATATCTTTATACTGTTGATGACTAAAAAGTTCTATAATTTTTCCTTTTAGCAGTCTTGAATATTTTATTAAATGTATTCCTAGGTACCTGGTCTGCTTTGATAGTGTAATAAATGGTAGCATTTTAAAAGCACTAAATGAGTTCTTAATTGCCAGTACATAGAAAAACAACTATACTTTTACCTTGTGCTGCACACTTAACGTGGTTTAGCTCCCCATAGTTTGCTTTTTTCATCCAATATTATTATTTTTGAAATTAGTCAGTAAATATTTATGTGTTTTGCCTTTACTGTTTGAGGCATGGCAGTTAAGAGAGAAAGATTCTGTCAGGCTTATATTCAGAAGAACACATGAACAGAACAGATGTAATTACTGTGAGGCGGTGATGAGTACAATGGAAATATGATAGGTGATAAACAGTCACTGAGAGGTGTTTTATATAGGGGGTTCTCTGGAATATTTGTGCAGAGTCTGAACAAAGCAAAGTAGTAAATCTTTGGAACATTGCAATGAACATGTAAGACAACAGCAAGTAAACGGGCCCTGGAATTCTGAACAAACCTTTCAAGATTAGCAAAACAAAAAAGCTTTTGTAACATAGTAGGAATTGAAGTTTTTGGGGACTGGGAAAGAGCCCTGTTACAAAGGAATGTCTGAACTCTTGGTCAGTAAACTGACCTGTAGCGTCAAATTCAGCTCATGACCTGCAAGCTAAAAAGGAGTTTTATATTTTAAAGGATCGAATTGAAGGAGAAATGAGGACCCTATAAAGGTGTGACCATGAAGCTTAAAGTATTTACTATTTGTTTGATCTTTTTCAGGAAAGGTGGATTAGGTTTTATTGGAGAAGTCTGAGCAAGAATGTATAGTGATTTTAATCTTGTGTCAGGAGGTTAAAGTAAGGTTTGACACAGTATAATTTGGGAAAACAACTAGAGCATATTATAATAACCCTGGTAAAAGATTGAGCTTGATACTCCAGAACACACTGTCATCTCCATTTTTTGTTTCAAAAGGAATGTATGCCTATTTTTAAATTTGTAGGTTTATAAAATAAGTTGTACTCATCACCTGTCCGGCTCTTTAGAGCTGTCCACTCTTAAAAATTTATACACATCGTTTCATTTTTTTCACTTGCTTAGAAATACTAATGCCCTGCAAGTTACATTTTTTTTTCACTTAGTATATCATTTAAATTTCTTCCTGTTAATAATAAACATGTTTAATTTTAAACTTTGTTCCTAGGTCTCATGCTGTTGCATGTGTCAATCAGTTTATCATCAGCAGGACTCAAGCCCTGATGATGCATATTGATTCTTTTATTGAGGTAAGATTTGTCATCACCTTTTTTTTTGAAGCACTTTCTGTTACTAATTTTTCTATTTGTAATTCGACATTGACTATGGAGTATTATGTTTAGTACCTTGATTACTTTTAAATTCTTCTCTCTCAATATACTGTTTCGCCAAGTACAGTGGTGCATACTTGTAAACCAAGCAACCAAGGGAGGGGGACTGAGGCGAAAGCATCACAATTTGAAGTCTAGCCTAGGCAAGTTAGTGAGACCTTGTCTCAAAGCAAAAATGGCTGGGGATGTAGTTCAGTAGTAGAGTGCCCCTAGGTTCAACATATTATTGGGGGGAGGTGCTGGGAATTGAACCCCCAGGGTCTTCATTGAGCTGTATTCCCAATCTTTCTATTATTTTAATACAGGGTTTCAAAACTAACTAGCCTACCTGGAGCTCAAACTTGGCAGTCCTCTCACCTTATTCGCAAGAACTGAAGTTGCAGGCATGTACCTGGCAAATTCAGTCTCTTTTTGTATATTATATCAAAGAGTTTCTTCAAATAGCTCTAGCTTGCAAATTATTGATGTTTTTGTATTATATCTTCAAAGGGTTTCTTTAAATATCACTAGCCTGCAAATCTTTCTAAAGTTTTGAAATTTTAAAACTAGAAAAAACTATGTTTCTCTTACAATAGAATCTTTTTGCATTGGCTGGTGATGAAGAACCAGAGGTACGGAAAAATGTGTGCCGAGCACTTGTGATGTTGCTTGAAGTTCGAATGGATCGCCTGCTTCCTCACATGCATAATATAGTTGAGGTAACATAAGCAGTTTAAATATTCTTCACTTAAACCCTAAGAACAATATTGGGCACAAAATGTATAAGGTGAAACTACAGCTTTCTAATTAATAACACATTGCAGGGCATATAAAAATAATTATCTTAAAAGCATAAGTTGATTTTTTTTTATGAGATTTAAGATTATAGGAGGAAATTACTTAAAGGAGTCAATGGCTGTAAGGAATAGGTAAATTTTAATCAAGACAGTGAATGAGGAAGTATTTAGATTATTTGTATTTATTAAAAGTGGGTTACACTGATTAATAAAACTTAGGGAAATTAGTATTCTTGTGTTGGAATTTTTAATTAATTACGAATTTGCTTTCTATTACTGGTAAAATTCATCTGATCAACTCTGACAGGGAATTGATGAGATTACTGAGTAGAAAAGACATTGATCCTTTATAGTTTTAGCAAACCGTTTAGATTTTATAAGGTTTTCTTTCAGCCCCTATGAAATTAAAATGATTGCGCTAGAAAATTCTAAGTATACTGATCACAGTTTAACCATATTTAGAGGAAGAGACCACCCAGTAATATATTATTGCAATAAAATAATTTGTTTTGTCATTGCTCAGTAATACTACAGTCACACTGTATCATCTTCTCATATTGATGATCATGGTCATATATGAGTATTATATTGCTTTATAAGTGCTTTAGTATTTTGTCTTGTGCCCGCCCTTTACAGAGTTCCATATTGGGTACTCAAGATGTGTTAAAAAGAATGCTAGGTTCCCTGATGTGCAGCAATTTCTCAACATTAGGAAAGGCAGTTGTAAGGATAAAGATTTGTAACAGCATAATATGATGTAAATTGTGTTTTCTATTACAGACCTCTTTTTAAAAAATCATCTGGGATTGGTTGGAACTTTGAAGTTAATTAAAGTTTAAAGTTTTTGACATTTACTAGATCACAACTGGAAAGCCTTAGTTTTATAATGTTTTAGTTCTTTACAGTACTCAGAAATAGTAGCTTTAACAGTGGAACATGATATGTAGTAGTTGTAACGTTGCCGTATTTTGTTGTGTGAGATATTTTAGTTTGGAAGATCATGGAGTACACCTTCACAGAAACAGTATGTACAGTGGACATACAGTTTTTATTGGGGTGTATTCTAAATTTACTTGCATTTTAGAGTCACCTAGGAAGTTTTTTTTTTTAAAGTTCAAAAGCTTATATTGAAAAAGAGTAAAATGCAAGGCTAGAACAAGTTCCCAATAGAGGACTGAGTTTATATTAAACGGGTTAGTATTATTAAATGGTTTAAACTGGTTATTATTAATATGAAGGGTTTTGTTTGCAGTACATGCTGCAGAGGACCCAAGATCAAGATGAAAATGTGGCTCTAGAAGCTTGTGAATTTTGGCTCACTTTGGCTGAGCAACCAATATGCAAAGATGTGCTTGTGAGGCATCTTCCTAAGTAAGTATTCCTACTTAAAAATACTGCCTTCTTGTTAAACTTAATTCCTAATTCCTTAACAGTCATTCCTTATAGTTGTGTTTTTATATAATCTAATTTGACTAGAAACTTCATAATGGCATTTTGCATTTGAAAAAATAATTTCCCACTTGTGATAACATAGAAGTTCAGTTATAGTTATGGCTTTAAATTTTGATTATATTGTTTTGACATTTGTTAAAAGTTACAATGTGTTGTATGCTTTCTTCCCTGTTACTAATTATTTTTCCCCGTTTGTCTATTTTCTGGCTGTTTTTATTTATTCAGTAAACTTGACAATTACCTTATTTAGTTTCAATTCCTGGTTTTTGTTTGACTCAGTAAATTCAAAATTTGTGTCTTAGTGAAAAGTGATGTATTTCATGTTCAATTTTATTTTCTAAGAACCTTTTTGTATTTTTTTTCAAGTATCATATATATATCAGAGAGTATGTTTCTGAGTAGTATTTATCTTTTTGATAATGTTGAAATAGTCTTTTCTAAAATATGTTTTCTGATTATTCCATGGCTATTGATTTTATTCTAGATAACAATGTATTTTCTTACTGCTTTTAAACAGTTTTTTTGATTTTAGCATTTCTCTCAGGTAGGCCATAAAAACATTCATCTATTTCTATTTCAAAAATGTTGTATCAAGAGTGGAGTTTGAGTAGGGATGGGGATGTGGCATTTTGCCTGGCATACACAAGCCCCTGAGTTGGGTCCCAGCCAAAAGAAATGACAGAACAGAGACTGAGTATGAGTACCATGGCACATGCCTGTGACTTCAGCTATTCTGGAAGGTGAGGTGGGAGTATCCAAGTTTGAGGAGAGTCTGGGCGGTGTAGCAAGACACTATCTCACAATGAAAAAGGGCTGGAAATGTAGCCTAGTGTGAAGGCCTGAAAGAAAAAAAAGAACGAAGTTTGAGAGCTATAAAATACTGTTTCATTATCATTGAAGGTACTGAAAATGGTTTTTAATTCTTCTAGGGCCATTTTTGGTGATTTGTGTTCTTTCCCAAAATTACACTTTTGCTTATTTTCAGATTGATTTGCGTAGAATTGAGAATTGCACAAAGTAATCTCATAAGACTTCTGTTTACTTTTTACTTGTGATTACTTCATATGAATTCTTTATTTGATATATTTGTGCTTTTCCCCCTTTGATTGAATTAGACATGAATATATCAACTTTTTATTGTAATAGTACATTAATTCAAATCAATGGGACTCACTGTAATTTTGTGTCATTCTTTAAAACTTTGGTATCTGTATACTCTTCCATCGTGGTGGTACACCACATATACAGTTACCTACATATTAATCAATCTTAATTATCTATGCACACTCTATGAATATTTACTCTGTTGCTGAATATACCATATAGGTTGTCTGGCTTATTTTTTGTTTTGAGTTCCTGGGGACTAAACCCAGGGCTTTGCACATGGTAAGTAGGCACTCTACCACTGAGCTACATCCCCAGTTCTTTATTTTGAGATAGGGTCTCTTGGGCTGGCCTCGAATTTGGTGATCTTCCTTTCCTCAGCCTCCCAATTAACTGGGTTTACAAGAGTGCTCATCATCACTAGCTTTTTTTTTTTTTTTAATCATAAATAATTCTGGAGTGAACATTTGTCTTTGACTACACGTGATTGTTTCCTTCTATTGGAATTCCTGAGTTATTTTTACTTAAGTTAAAGTATATGGACATTTTAAAAGTTCAGTAGAAATATTCCAAATTACAATCTAGGAAGTATATACCCGATTTAGCATTTCTAGAGTTACACTTTTTTCCAGATGATTATGACTACACGTGAGTTTCCTTCTATTGGAATTCCTGAGTTATTTTTACTTAAGTTAAAGTATATGGACATTTTAAAAGTTCAGTAGAAATATTCCAAATTACAATCTAGGAAGTATATACCCGATTTAGCATTTCTAGAGTTACACTTTTTTCCAGATGATTATGGTACCTAGATAATCTCATTTGCGTGTACTCAACTAAGTCCTTTATCTTTTTTAATTATGTCCACCTATATCTTATTTGTAGGTAAAGTGCAAGGTGACATGCAGAATGGAGCTTTTTCTCTTTAGGAAATCTGTATTTCTTTCATCTGCAACTTATAATAACATTTCTGTGATACTGGGGACTCGCTATAGGGCCATATAATTCTAAAAAGTCAAATATTTTTATTAAACTAGATAGTGATTTAACGAAAAACTAAGCTATAAAATTAGGAGGTATTATTTATATTGTGAGACTCTAACTACTAGATACTTGCATTATACAATCCAAACATTCTTAAAATAGGCATTTGCTGTGCTTTTCAGTACAAATGTTAAATAGTTCAAGGCAATCAGGATTGGGAGTGATCCCACTGTTGAGGAGGTTTGTTTTTTAATCCCCCTAGCCAAAAGGGTTCATAATAATAGAATTACATAACGAGTATTTTTTGAGGGGTGTTTTTTGTTTTTTTGTTTTGAGAAAACGAAAGCTTGCTTTGTTGCCCAGGCTGACTTTGGACTTGGAATCCTCCCACCTCAGTATCCTAAATCACAGACATTACATGCATGCCCCCCCCCCCCCAAATGGGTGCCATTTTTATCCACAAAACAGTGCTTTCTACTTTTTGACGATTTTGACAATGCATTGGCGGGCAGGGAGAATATCAATATCAATATGTACATGAAGTTTCTTTTTAATTTTTACAAAGCACTGATGTAACAAGAATAACACTAAAATTTGTATTTGTTTCTAGGCTATATAGTCCTTTTCAACCAGTGTTACATTATTTTGATTATTGTACATGTAATAACATATTTGTTATCTGGTCGAACTGTTGTATTTTGGCTTTGGTTTGTCCCCCCCAACAAAAAAAATTATTTTGGCTTTTTTTTTTTTCAATCTTTATTTTTATACACTAACATCTTACAGGACTACTTTGTGAATAGATTACCCATGTAAAACAACACAATGCATGTGAAGTACTCAGTAAACATTTGTTGTTGGTATTAATACCGTCTCATAATCTTCATATTAGAAACTCTGTTTCTAATGACTAGATGAGACTTCAGAAGAAAGCTGCTTAAGAATTGGACCTGTTCAAAAGAAATAACCTGCCTTGTGACTTCATCAGACCAATGCCAGATTGCTACATAGTCATAATTAATATTCATATTTCACTTTCCAACTTCCTGGTTTTACTTGCCAGACTAAACCAGTTCCATATTTTCTGCAAAACTTACTAAAGCCCGTCTGCTGCCCCTTGCCACAGCCTAACCCAAATCTCTTTGTGTTTTCCTAATCTCACATTCTTCTTTTTCTGATAGGTGCTGTAAGTGCAAATAAACCATACCAGCAGTAAATTTCTAGCTACCCTGCATCTGTCTCCCCTACTCTGGATTATTTCCCTCTTTTGCTTCTTTAACTAAGCTTTTGCATACTATGGGGAAAGTTACATTGCTGAGTGAATTGTTGCTGTAGACATTCTATGGTCATCAATATCAAGTGGACAGTTTATACCATCTGGCATTCTTTGTTCCAGGTCAGCTTTTATCTGCCAAGACAGCAACTGTGTCAAATATTCTGTCATTCTTGTACATTCTTTGAGTACTTCTGCTTTATAGAGAAAACAGGTGACCCCTTTGTCTTCCTTCAAATATTATGCATAGGTTTTCATGTGAGTTGTCTTCTTCCTAACCAGTCTTTCTACTTGAGATATAAACAGCATAATTTTTTTTTTTCTTATTCACAGGGATCTTAGTCCTTCAAGTAGTTATTGTTTCAACTTTTCCCTGTGGCCTCTTTTTCAAATAACATCATAACTTGCTGCAGTTTGCTTCCTTCTTAAAAAATTCAAAGGAAAAATGGGCTCATTGTTCTTTACTACTGTCTTCCAGGCTAACATGTCTTCACCATTCCTTCACATTGTTCACAAAGATCATTAACAATTTATCTGTCAGTGATCCAAATAGAATTGGTTTTCATACAAAATGCTTATAGCTTATGAAATATGATTGTGTAAAAATCCTTTTACCTTATGCTAGCTACAATATTTAACTACTGTTAGTCTGTTTTAGAATTTACAAGGACTTGAGCATGAAGGTTTGGCAGGACTCACATTTGAGTCTCCCTCCTTCCTCCCTATGTTAGTATTCCTTTAGTTAATAAGGGCAGATATATCACTGAATATGCTCAAAGACAATGTTACTGTACTTGTCTCTTTAGTTTTATTAGTATACACAAGATTGTTAAAACAATTCTGCTTAGGTCATTGGATCTTTGTTTCACAAGTTGATTTCTTTATAGGTTGATTCCTGTGTTAGTGAATGGAATGAAGTACTCAGATATAGATATTATCCTGCTTAAGGTAAGGAAACCTTTTTGACAGATAGGAAATGTGACTTTTGTGTTAGTATATCTTTGGCCAATAGAACATTTATGTAGATTCAGCCTTATGTGAATAGGCTTCCTGTTACATACAGTAAGCTATAAATATTCAAGAAAGAACAAACATAATGAACTTGGAGTTTATTTGAAAACATACTTCCTAAATATATAATCTGAATTTGATTCAGCTACTTAGATTATATGAGCTAATGAGATGTAGTACACTTGAAAGAGTTTCATATATCCTGGTCTTTTCTTCCTTCCACAAGGAAATATTTTCTGCACCAGGGAGTAGTTCTTAATTGGGAAGTATACTTCATAATCTAATGCATGATACCATTTGTGGATGCTCTGATTATTTTACTTGTATATGTTATTCGGAAAATTTCCCTTTAAAAAAAAACAGGGTGATGTCGAAGAGGATGAAACAATTCCTGATAGTGAACAAGATATAAGGCCACGTTTTCATCGATCAAGGACAGTGGCTCAGCAGCATGATGAAGATGGAATTGAAGAGGAAGATGATGACGATGATGAAATTGATGATGATGATACAATTTCTGACTGGAATCTAAGTAAGTCAAAGAAAATTACTTGATAAACTATACAGTTCACCTATTAAAAATGTAGACAGTAAGGGCCAGGCATTTAGCTCAGTGATGCTGTGCCTGCCTGGTAAGTGCAGGGTCCTGAGTTCGATTCCCAGTACCAGAAAAATAATGTAGAGATTAGGAAGATTCACGGAGCTATCCAGTCATTGTTACAATTAATTTACGATATTTTTATTACACCCCAAAAGAAACCCCATCCCCATTTCCCCCAACCCAATAGAACTACTAATTTGTATTCTGTGTCTATGTATTTGACTCTTTCTAGTCATTTTATATAAATGGAATGGTCTTTTAAGACTGTCTTCTTTCACAGTCTCAAGGTTTTTAGGATTCATCCTTTTTTGTTATTTTTTTGTTTGAGACAGGGTCTTATATAACCTCGGCTGGCCTTGAACTCACAGCAGTTTTCCTGACTGAGCCTCCCAGGTGCTGGGATTACAGGTGTGCCCCACCAGGCCTGGTGGTTCATCTGTGTTTTAACATATATCAATACTTTGGTTTTTTATTGTTAAATAATATTCCACAGCCAGGGGTGGTGGCGCACATTTCTAATCCCAGCACTGAGAAGGCTGAGGCAGGAGGATCACTGATTTTGAGACCACCCTGGGCTACATAGTGAGTTCTGGGGCAGTCTCAACTACATAGTAAGAACCTGTCTCAAAAAAGAACAAACAAACAGAAAATAATAATAATATTCCATTGTAGTAGCACAGCAGATTCCTCCCACATCAACTGATGAATATTTCTCCATTTTGGTTGTTGTTGAGTATTCGTGTAGAAGATTTTGTGTAGACACATTCTTTTACTTTTCTTGGGTGTGTACCTAGGAGTGAGATTGCAGAATCATATGGCAACTGTTTAACTTTTTGAAGACTTACCAGAATGTATTCCAAATTGGCTATGCCATTTTATCTTGTCACCTGCATTGTCCAACAGTTTCAGTTTCTCCTCCAATACTTGTTACTAAATCTCTTTCACAATACCGATTCTAGTGAATGTGAAGGGATGTCACTGTGATTTTGGTTTGCCTTTCACTGAGGACCTGCTAAGACTGTGATAATAGAATAAAATATAAATGTAGCCACAAACTTTTCCTGTTTCCTAACCTTAACTTTTTGTATGTCTAATGTGCATGAGAATTGGCTGGTTGTTAGGTAATTCTAAAGTAATATAAATTGTTATATTCAAAACTTATAAAGTACACCTCTTTTTAAAAATCATAACTTTCAATTTGAGCTGCAAATTCACATCACCTATGAAGTTGACCTTCTGACCCACACTCTAATTAGGGAGGAGCCTGTGCTTCTGTTTTGTTTTTGCTTGCTTACTGGTTTTTAAAATTTTATCACCCTTAGCACTGTTGGCAGTTTAGGCCAAATAATTCATTCTGGGGGGTGGGGCCTGTCCTGTACACTATAGGAATTTGAACAGCGTCCCTGTCTTCTGCCCAGAATGTCAGTAGTGGACAAAGCTATGTCTCCAGATATTGCCAGAAGACCCTGAGAGAACAAAGTCACCTCCTGTTAAGAATGTCAGCTTTTTTTAAAGCTCATGATGTTGTAGTAATTGTTAAATGATTAGGGACATACAACAGCGAGGAGTGTTTTTTTTTGTTTTGTTTTGTGTTTTTAGATAATGTGTTTTAGATAATGTTAATTCTGTTAGCTATTTTGTCCTATGGCTAACATCTTAGAGTGACTCATGTTCTTAGCATTAGACCGTGACTTTACATTCATGTTACTTTACTCTCCCCCATACCGAGGATTGAACTTTTAGGACCTTGTGCTTGCCAGGTAGGTGCAGTGCCACTGAGCTAAATGCCCAGCCCGTGTTGCATTTTAATCTTTCCAAAACCTTTAGGTAGGTAAGGAAATGACAAAAGAGAATCTAATCCAAAATTAGTGTAGCTAGTACTGACAACACATCCAGCATTGGAACCCAAGTCTCCTTCAGTAGGACAGTTCCAAATCTTTGCTATAGTCACCAATTAATTTGCCTTACAATCCCTGCTGTTCAGTTGAGAGGGCAGGCTGTACTGAGACTGTAATATGTTACTCTTCAAAAACAATAGTGTACATTGAAGAGAGGAAAGAAACAACTCTTTACATCCTACACATCTTTATGTCCTCTAAGAAGCTTTTCTTTGTATTGAAAGACATGTCTATGTCTTTTTAAAGAAAGTGAGGCTGAATTTCCCAAAATAAAATCAGATTCTATGTTGTATATCATATACCTCATTCTATGTCAGTACAAATTTTCTTCCGTTGCTTTAATATTCAGTATGACAGAACAGAATGTCTTCATTTTATTGTCATAGAAATGTATCCTTTCTAGTGGAATTTTTCATGACTATCTCCTATTTATAGATTTCTCCAAATATAAAGCATTATACATACAGTAAATACTTTTAAAATAATTATAAGGTAATCAAGATTAGTGTAACATTTTCAAATTAAATATTTCCTTAGGAAAATGTTCTGCTGCTGCCCTAGATGTTCTTGCAAATGTTTATCGTGATGAGCTATTGCCACATATTTTGCCCCTTTTGAAAGAATTACTTTTCCATCATGAATGGGTTGTTAAAGAATCGGGCATCTTGGTTTTAGGAGCAATTGCTGAAGGTAAGTCCAATTTAAGTCCCAGTTTATGGATGCTAATAAGGCTAGGCTATGTTAAGCAGTTGTTACTCAGTAACCTAAGACTCTTCTCTCAAGAATTCAGTATTACACTGCTGTCTGGGATAGACAGGACTGTGTCCCTATTAACTTTATAAGGTATGACTGGATACAAGCACCATCTTACAGTAACTTTTTACTTTGAACTAGTTTAACTGTTAAACAGCCATAGGTTTATGTATTTGCAAATTTTTCTTAGAGTAAAGGTATCAGAATCTGAGGACTCATATCTGAAGCATCCTCATTACTAGAAAAACAGTTTTATTCCTTAGGTAAGTTTAGGAAACGTGATAAAAAAAGTGTGTCATCAAAGGATCATTTTCCTGTTTTGGTTGCAAACATTTACCTATGAGAAAATGAAACATTTTACAGGCGTTTCTAAAGGCCATTACTGCTATAAGATATTTATGAGCAGCTAGTGCTACAGGCTATCAGAGAAGTGAAAATATACTGATTTTTCAAGGATATGTGTATCATTTCCGTGTTCAAATGAAATAATTTCATTTTAACTAAATTTAGCACTTTTTGAAAGACTTTTGTTGTTTTAGGTTGCATGCAGGGTATGATTCCATACCTGCCTGAGCTCATTCCTCACCTTATTCAGTGCCTCTCCGATAAAAAGGCTCTTGTTCGTTCCATAACATGCTGGACTCTTAGTCGCTATGCACACTGGGTAGTCAGCCAACCACCGGACACATACCTAAAGCCATTAATGACAGAGTTGCTAAAGCGTATCCTGGATAGCAACAAGAGAGTACAAGAAGCTGCCTGCAGGTGGGTCAAATTCCTAATACAGTGTTCATTGTGAGAGCTGGTAATTTAGTGAGAGACTGATTTTCAACCTTGCAATAGAATGTTGATATTAAGCTGTTTGCAGAATATTTCATAACAAAAGAAACTTAGAAGCTATACTGTAATTTTAATTTTCCTTCCTTTTTTTTTTTTTGAAGTTTTTATAGGCCTAGCCTGTAGGAGGATTTGCACATTACTGTATTTGATATATTTTGTTTGGTTGAGAAATTTTTATTTACAACTTTTACCTGAATCAAAATGTAACCCTAAATAAACAGGTCTGCTTTTTTTTCTTCTCATTCTGTTTTAATCTCAGTGACTAAAAGTACAATCATCTTTGACCTTCATTCTTTCAGACAATTAAAATGATGAGGGTATGGCTTCTTTTGAAGGAATAACTAAATTTGAGTAGATTTGCACTGTAGTTTACAGAATAACTACCATAACTCCACAGAAAGGTCTTTAGACTTGCAGTTGATCACTTAACTGTGATTCTTAGTGCTTTGTGAATCTGTGTCTGTTGGGTTTAGGGTTACATCAGACCTACAGTTGCTTTCAAAGTTTTGTTTTCCTGGAACAAACTTAGGTACTAAAAGAGCTTGCCATATATACATTTATGTATCCTTTTCCCAAGTAGAGTTGGCTTTACCACTACTTTTTTCAATAGAAAGAAATAACATAAAATAGCAAAGTAAATTTGAGTTGTACCTTACTAGAGCTAAAAGAATAATGTCTAAAATTAGAGTTCTGATTTTTAATGTGCTAGAAGTACTTTTAACAAACATTTATACTGATTGATTACATTCCATCTTTTTTAAGGTTGGGGAGGATAGATTGTGTTTGATTTCTCATAGTTTATTCATTCAGCAGTTTTTTAAGCTATGAATTGTTATATATCTACTAAATGCTGAGCTAATAGTACCTGCCATCTTCAAACTTACGGCTAGCAGGAAAACTGAAAAACAATATGGTATCATTTATGGCAAGTGCAATGAAAGAAATGCATAAATAGTTCAGAATGCTAACGATTAGGATTTTTCATTAATATATAGCTTAATTCTGTCATTTTAGGAAGATTCCAGATTGGGTGAAACAAGCTAAATGTTAATAAGATAAAGTTAGGTCTCAAAGTAATTATACTGTAGCTTCTTCATTTCTTTGTACATTTGTCCTAATAGTTATATATAACATGTACTTGTAGTAACAACTACACTGTGGACTTTAAGGTGAGTAGCGGTAGTGGTGTGTTTTTACATACCTTAAACACATTAAAATGTTTGTTGGCTTTTTTTAACCCTTGATCTGAATATGAGGAGTAAACATACAGTTTTAATTCTAATTTCATTAATCAAAACAATCCAAGCTCCCTGAAAATGGATACATTGTTCTGTTCTTTGCTGTATTCAGTACTGTATAAGTAGTAAGCACCAAATATGTCAGATGAGTAAATATAAGGACCAAAAACTTCTATAGTTTTCAATTTTACCTTCATAGTTAAGCAGATGGCCACGGGTGACAGTCTCTTGGAAAGGAAGAAGTGATAAGAAATGTTGAAGAAAATAAAAATAAGCCTCTGATAGAAGGCAAGGAATACATAAAGAAATGTACTATAGATGTATTACAAGAAATATATTTAATTTCTTGTCTATTATAAACTATTCCTTTTATGTAGTAGTAATACTTTTGTTTTAATTTTAGTGCCTTTGCTACCCTGGAGGAGGAGGCTTGTACAGAACTTGTTCCTTATCTTGCATATATACTTGATACCCTGGTCTTTGCATTTAGTAAATACCAACATAAGAACCTGCTCATTCTTTATGATGCCATAGGAACATTAGCAGATTCAGTAGGACATCATTTAAACAAACCAGTAAGTATATATGAACAACTATTGTGAGGAAAAATACACAGCATAGTCAGTACTCAATAGATTAGCATTTATTTGGTAATAAGACTTGATGAGATTTGAACAGTTTGTGCTACATTAAGAATATAGACCTTGGCCTGGGGATTTAGCTCAGTGCTTTAGGTGCCTGCCTCGCAATCACAAGGACCTGAGTTGAATCTCCGGTACAAAAAAAAAAAAACAAGTGGGGGCTGAGGGAATGGCTCAGTGGTAGAACTCTTTGCCTATTATGTTTGAGTCCCTGAGTTTTTACCCAGCACTGAAAAAACACAACAGCAAGTATATCCCCCATGCAAACAGTATTTTTAAAATAAGCATTTACTAAGTGTAAAAAATTATAGCATCGTATCATTGCACAAACCTTTCAACTTTTTTTTTAGAGTAAGAGGAAAGGGAATTAAAACGTTTTATACTCTGCATTTTTTCTTAATTCCAAGTGTTTGTAGCTTTAGACTCAATGTATTTTCCTTTCTCCTCAGAGTGTTCAGATTTGGGAGTATAGTGCAAAACAATTACAAATGGAGGTGATAGGTCAAAAATGCTAAATAATAAAGAGTTTTATGCCTTACCTGTAGTAGTATAGCCTATAAAAAGAGAATGGATTTAAAATGTCATTAGAGAATAAACATTAAATGTGTGTTGTGGTTTAACAAGTAGTGTTAATACTTGATAAAATGATGTGTTTTATTGATATACATTATATTTCCAAAAGGATATAAAATGACTTGAAAATGAAGTTATTTAAATTAAAGTTTACTCAAAAGAAAATTTTCACAAGGACTGTGTAGAGCAAGGAATGAATGATTTTACACAATTGCTGTAAATGGATTTTAATTTTCATAGACTCAAAATGGACTTATTTACATATGATAGCGGAGCTTTACATGTTTTTCATCATTGTAAATAGGAATATATTCAGATGCTAATGCCTCCACTGATCCAGAAATGGAACATGTTAAAGGATGAAGATAAAGATCTCTTCCCTTTACTTGAGGTATGCTGTGCTGGTAATGCTGACTGTGACAGTGAATTTCTTCAGAAGCACAGGTCTAATCCAGAATGGGTGTATGTAATGAATAGTGTTGATAAGTTGATAGACCTATTTCTGTTGAAACGTTTATAAATTTAACAATACTTTAGTTACAGTACATCAGAGAGAGGTATGTGGTACACACCTATAGATATACCTACTGTACTTACGTTATATTTTAAATTCTTTTATATGTTACCTATTCTATCTTGCCTGTGTACATACATGTGAAGTAGCTTTGGAACTTGGTACCGATAAGGTTCTTTGTACATTTACTTTCTAATTTGAATTTGTTTCTGTGTATGCTTAGGATTTTGTTTTGTTTTGTTTTTTTTGTTTTTTTGAGACAGGGTCTCACTATGTAGTTGAGACTGACCTGGAACTCACTATATAGCCCAGGCTGGTCTCGAACTCACAGTGATCCTGCTGCCTCAGCCTCCTGAGTCCTGGGATTACAGGTGTGCGCCATCACACCCAACATAGGGGTATTTTTTAAACCAAAAAGAAATATAATATGATCCTCAGTACAAAATATAGTAATTTAAACCAAGTGATTTGACATTGGTAGAGCAAGTTCAGTCCTTTTCATTCTTGTTCCCCTGATTATTTTAAGGGTCATCTACTTTTGCCATGGATTCTCTCTTTAGGCAGGGAAGTGAAACCTTCTGAGACTAAGAGCAGTGTCTAATTTTGGGTCCAACAAAACAGTAATCATTTTACCAAAGTCATCCCTTAGTATGGGGGTTGGTTCCAGGGCCCCTCCCCATACAAAATCTGGGTACTCAAGTTCTTTATATAAAGCAGTACTATATTTGCATATAACTTGTACATATCCACCAGTATATTTTAAATTCTTTAGATTACTTATAATTCCTTTGATGTAAATAGTTATTACATAGTATTGTTTAGGGAGAAATCTGTACCTGTTTAGTATATGTATTACTTTCAAGAAAGACTCAGAATGTCCCTACAAAGTTCATCTGTATCATTGACTAAGTTGGGAACATGAATAAGTATATCACTTAAATTTAAGGAAAAAAATACGAGCATACAATAATGTGTCCTTGAAAGATAAAACTTAATATAGGAACTATGTTAACTTTTTTCTGAGTACGCTTCTCCTGATTGACTGTCAGGGTGTCAACAATGAGTAGACAGCCAAAGAGGTTTGAAAGACAAACCTGCTACTGTAGATGAGTAGAGTAGACTCATAAATGACCAGGATCTTTTGGGGCAGTTTGAAGCATTTATCATAATTTAAACATGCTCAGAAAATATAGCATGTGTGTTTTATTCTTTCTAGTGCCTATCTTCAGTTGCCACAGCCCTTCAGTCTGGCTTCCTTCCATACTGTGAACCTGTATATCAGCGTTGTGTGAACCTAGTACAGAAGACTCTTGCACAAGCTATGGTATTTTATCATTATTATTATTGTTGTTATTGTTATTATTATTATCTTTCCCTTCCTACATCATAAACATTTTTCTAAATATAATGTATAATGGGTCCAAACTTTTTCAGTAACCAATTAAAAGCAAAAATATTGTTTAATTTCAGCTGAACAATGCTCAACCAGATCAATATGAGGCTCCAGATAAAGATTTTATGATTGTCGCTCTTGATTTACTCAGTGGTCTGGCTGAAGGACTTGGAGGCAATATTGAACAGCTAGTAGCCCGAAGTAACATCCTAACACTAATGTATCAGTGCATGCAGGTGAGACTTGTAAGGTTAAAGTGAGTTGAAACTTGGTTACTTGGTTCTCTGTGTCACTTTGGCATTAACTTCGTCTTATTTCTTGTAGGATAAAATGCCAGAAGTCCGACAGAGTTCATTTGCACTATTAGGTGACCTGACTAAAGCTTGCTTTCAGCATGTTAAGCCTTTTATAGGTATGAATATTTTCTGTTATTGTGTGTTTTTAAATTATTTTTACATCTGATTTTTATTTTATTAAAAAATTTCATGGACTCTCGGCATTTATAATTTATGGCTGGTTAAAGTTAAGCTGCTCTGACTGAAGCAGGCAGGATGTGGGGAATCCCCACTGTTTCCTTGAGCTCACCATCACTTCGCAGGCCTGTGGCTAGAGGAAATTTAAATGGTACCAGGTCATGTCCACCAGTGAAGCCTGGATATATTATGTGCTAGTAAATACTTTTATGAGTAGCATTCTTTTTGGTAGAGGTGCCCCAGAATACTAATACAATGGTGCCTCAATTCATGAGCACTTTTGTTTACAAAAACTTTGGTTTGTAAACAGAAGTATTTGCCAAAATTTTGTTGTTTGTGAACTCTGCATTGGGTGATGAACATGACTGCTGACATCTTTCCTACACAAACACGAGCTTGGCCGTATTTTCCAGAATCGTGGAATAAATTAAGTTTGTGAACCCAGGTAACACTGTGTTAGGATTTCTTCTCTAATATACCAGCATATTTTTCAGGTACCATAGAAAACTTCAAATACCACCTTTTCTATTCTGATAGTATAATGTGTATTCTTGCCTTAACAGAGATAAAAAGTGACTCCTTGAATATCAATCTGAATGCTTTCCAACATTTAGGCTGAATGATTCTCGGGGTGTTTTCCTTCCTATGTTTGGTGGCAATTATTTGTAATATTTTATTTAAACCTTGATTTAAAACATTCATATAAAGCGCAAGGACCTGAGTTCGATCCCTGGTACCAAAAAAAATAAATAAATAAAACATTGACATAAATGATTTTCATTTGACACAATTGTGCTCTTATTTCCAAATTTTGAGCAGTAACATGACTATTGAGTCATTAAATCTTAAGTCTTAACTACTGTGAAAGTAAAAGGAATTTTTGAGATGTTGGTAATACAAATATTTACCATGTAATTGTAGTTTCTGGGGTTTTGTTTTGTGTGTTTTGTTTTTCTGAAGGGTTTGGCGATGTTGGAGATAGAACTCAGGATTTGCAACATGCAAGTGAAGCTTTCTATCACTGAGCTACATACATCCCCAGCCTATCTTTCTTTTTTCTTTTCTTTTTTTTTTTTAAATGAGAACTCACTAATTTGTGTAGGCTGACCTCAAACTTGAGATTCTCCTGCTTCATCCTCCCAAGTAGCTAGCTTACAGACCTGAATCACCACCACTCCCAATTGATAGTTTCTGATTTATTAAATTTATATGAAAGGATTTAAATTTTTTAACATTTTTTTCAAAAAGTGTTTTAAAACAAAAATAGAAAAAAGTGCAACAGCCCTGATTAACTAGCTTTAGGTGTTGTCAATACATGTTATAAATCATATTTAATAGGCAGTTTCCAGTCTTAAACTTGTAATATTGAGTACATAGCTTCAATTTTTTTTTTTTTTTTACAATTGTTTTTTTTAAATGACAATTTTTGTCCTAGAGTTTCTGAGTGGATTTTACTCTAGTGTCATTAAGCATGTTCTTTGGTCCTTCGTGTGTAGTGTGCTTGTCAACTCTAGAGACTGAAGGTTAGTGAGATTCCAGTTTTATTTTTGTTTTCTTAGAGATTTATAGATGAGATTGTGTACTTAAGGAATTTAAATGGTATCATGGTGGTTTTAGTGCTTTTTGTTTGTGGCTTGTGTTTTCTTGTTAATGCTGCCAACCATGGTTGGTGATTATTGTCTGAATTATTATTATTATTTTTTTTTTGTCTGGATTATTCTTAACAGATAGCTTTGTTCTGTGGAAACATTTGTCAGTGTAGAGATTTATTAGGAGTTTAAAATGTATGATACTCTAATTTTTCATTTAATAGTAAGAATATTGTGTAAGTGATTTCCCATGTTAATAAATTGTTACCTGAGTACAAATAATAAAATAGTTGGCAAGATAATTACTGGATTCTTTCCCTTTATTTACCAGTTTTTAAAATATGTTGATACCAGCATCCTCCAAAGATAGCTTTTGTGTTTCAGAGTTTAGTTTGTATTTGTTTTTTCTCTTTCTCTTTCTTTCTTTCTTTCTTTTTTTTTTTTTTTTTTTTTTTTTTTTTTTTTTTGTACTAGGGATCGAACTCGGGTCCTTGCATTTGCGAGGCATGGGGTGGAACCACTTAGCTAAATCCCAGCCCTGTATTTGTTTTTTGAATTTATGATATTTAAGTGTTCTTTCTGCTAGCAATGGCAGTTTAATCAGGTTGAGTCCTGTATCCCTTCTGTGACAACAGGATAGTCCAGGCTTATTTAAATATTTCCTGTCTTTTTCTTTAGTGAGGTATTTCTCTGCGAGCCCCTTGTACCTTTTAATGGGGAAGTCTGAACAGTAGTGTGGAAGTTGCTTTAAAAAACATTTGAGACCAGAATGGGCAACTGAGACCCTGTCTTGATAAAATTTTTAAAGTGATAAGGATATAGCTCACTTGTAGAGCACTGGGTTCAATCTTTCGTACTACACCAAAAACAAAAGACTACAATCACTATATGAAAAACCAGCTTAGAAGAAAATTACATGTTATTTTATCTTTTTTGTTTGTTTGTCTTTTTTCTAGTACTGAGGATTGAACACAACAGCCCTTCCCGTTTTAAATTTTTTGTTATTTCGAGACTGGGTTTTGCTAAAATTACCCGTGCCAGCCCTAGCACTTGCAGTTTTCCCTTCTTAGCCTCCTGAGCGATTAGAATTTCAAGCATGTGCCACCTCTCCTAGCCTGTTTTCCCCACTTCTAATTTGAATTTTCTTAGTTCATTGATGACCAATAATTCTTCCTAAAGTTACCTAAAACATACCCAAGCTGATGCTTCCTTATCATAAACTTTCTTGGCCAGAAATGACCTCATTTGGTTTTTTAAGATAAATATTACCCCCTCCCAAAAAGGATAAATATTTCCAACTCCTTTAAAAGATATTACATAGTTACATATATTTCACAGTTCTGTAATTGATGCCCCAGTGTTTGGTAAAATTTAGTATTTCTTGCCTAGATTTATTTTCTATCTAGTAGATTTTATTTAATGTGCAATAGAGACTGCTATTGAAAAGTTTACCACAAATTTTTGACTTTTTTTTTTCTTTTTTTTCCCCCTAGCTGATTTTATGCCAATATTGGGAACCAATCTAAATCCAGAGTTCATTTCAGTTTGCAACAATGCCACATGGGCAATTGGAGAAATTTCCATTCAGATGGGTAAGATTTTTTTTCCCCTGAAGAAGTATGAGTCTTGATATTTTTGTAATTTTTCTCATTTGCTTTTTGCTTTAGTGTGTGTGTATGAGTGTGTGTACACATATATGACATGTCACAGTGAATAAGGAAACCAAAATGTATTATGCCCATTTTTTCACCTTTAATTGTTTCCTTTCTTGTTTTCTCTTTTTGTGGAATGATCTAGGTATAGAGATGCAGCCTTATATTCCTATGGTGTTGCACCAGCTTGTAGAAATCATTAACAGACCCAACGCACCAAAGACGTTGTTAGAGAATACAGGTACCATATGTCTGAACTGTTAACGGTGATCAGAAAATTGTCTTTAATTTTAAATTATAATGCGTAGAGACACCAAAGCAAAGCTATTTTAAAAACCCAACTTATTAATATGTTTTGGGTTCTCATTAGTGAAATACATTATTTTAACTACATTCCATAACCAATTTCAATAAACATTTGGAAAACTCCTTTTTTCCACATTCTTGTGTTTTAATACTCGCTAAAATGGATTCCAGCTAAGAGAACCAGTGAAGCAGAAATTTTGCTTTTTAAATTAGAGAACAACTGGAAGGTGAGAAATAATGATTTTTAGTCTGTGAAATATGGTCAGGCCATGCCTGTAATCCCAGTGCTCTGGGAGACTAAGGCAGGAAGGTCACAAGTTCTGACCCAGCCTGGACAACTTAGCAATATAGGGAGTCCCTGGATTCAGTCTCTGATCCATGTCCCATAACACCTACCCCCCACCCCTGGACAAAATTAGATTGCAGTTTAGTGACTGAATTGCTTAACAGTGACACAGACACTTTGTATTTCATCATAAATTTTTCTTTAATTGGGAATTTAATAGTTCCCTGCAGGATTTTTTTTGTTTAGGAAGCTTGTTTCTCTTTTGCATTTATAGAGAGCATGTATATTAAAGAATACCTTCCATACTATAGAACACATATAGGAGTGATTGAGTGTTTTCTTTCCATCCTCCCTATTATTAATAATGTTTTGTTTAATTGTTTTCATTGAAGCACATTCATTTCTTTTTGTACTAAGATAATTCTAGTTAGTTTATTTAGTCAGTGAGGGTCCAAAGTACTGGACAAAGACTAAAATGAAAATTTCCAAAGAAAAAAGTTTGTTTTCAGGGGCATTTTAATTTGGTATTTTTAAATTATAGAATCTGTTTTTTCCTAATAGATTAAAATTGATAATGTTTATTGGTATGGAAGGAAATCTTTTAAATTATGAAACCATTATCTGGCTGTTTAGGTGTATGGGTACTGTTCCCAAAGTGAATTAGATTTTCTTGCTGAAAGTATAAAAGTCTATGTATAGTATAATTATGAAGTCTTATAAGATTTTTGTCTCCTTAGAACACAGTACCTATACATAACATTCAGATTTAAAATACTTGGCTATTGTAAAATTATTGTTGAGCCTAAAGAAAACGTCCTTTTTATTTTTAAATGTGAATGCATAACTACAAATAAATGTTGAGTGTAATGTATATTAAAGTTTCTTGTGGGATATCAACTGGTGAATTTGTTATAGTTCCCCTAACAGATTGGCTTTGTTTATAAGATTATACTCTGAGTATATGTTGATAATGTTTTACAGGTTGATAGACTGAAAAAGATTGATGAACGCACTTGGGTTCATTAGATTTTTTTTTTTTTTTTTTTTTACCACAAGTGTCTTTATAATACTCTTTATTCTTTACCCCCAAAAATGGGGTTCTTTAATTATTAAAATCACTGATAGTAGATTTTAGCAACTCAATATCAAATATCAATTTTTTAATAAAGCCAGTTCCTTAGTACATTGTTACTTGCTTTTTTCCCAATTAATATATCCTACACTGAACTTTTTCAAAGGACCGTCATCTGCTTTATCGCATGTTTCATTGGATTGTTCATACTTGCCTGTTTAATGAGAATGTTGCATAGTTTGTGTCTTTTGAACATAGGTTTTCTTTCTCTGGCTTCATATGAATCTGCTGAATTTTAGTATTATCTGTGTAGTTTGCTTCAAGTAATCCTTAAACATTTTTCTTTACCCCCCACCCTTTTTTGATGAAAGGTTAAATTGTAAGTTTTTGAGAGAACACCATTAAAGCACCTCATGGTTTGTTTTCTGTTTGTATTTTTCCCCGTTGTGTATAAATGTATTTATATGTATGTACTTTTGAATTGCAGAATGCAGTTCTGAGTTGTACTTGTTTTTAGCTCTTTGTAAGTTTAAGGAGTTCCTTGAATTTTGATGGTGAATGTCCACTTCAAATTTTTTTAAAAATCAAATATTAGCATGTAATCAGTATGATAATGTATTACCTGTTTTGTGTTACATCTTTTATAATAAAAATGGACTTTTTTCTATGGTCCACATATCACATGTCATTAGAGTGGACTATCTAAATTTCCTTTATTAGAATTTTATTTCAGATATGGTTTGAAATTAGTGGACTGTCATCTGAATCATGAGGTTGGTTGGAATGAGATTTGTCATAGCATAGCAATTTTCCAATCTGTTCAGTGGATGCCATAATACTTGATATCTGACAGTTTGATTTTGAAATCAGGCAACAAATGTCCTCTGGTATGTTTGGGAAATGTTAACTCAAAATATTGAGCTATCAATTTGGATTAATTTCCCTAGATAATTTTCAAAAAAATGAAATCACTTATAAAAAGAGGTGTGTAGTCTGCTGGGCGTGGTGGCACACCTCTGTTATCCCAGCACTGGGGGGTGCTAAGTCAGGGGAATCTCCTTGAACTACATAGCAAAAGCCTCTCTCAAAAAAATAATACAAAAGGTATAGGAAAGTATAAAATAAATTTGAACTATTACAGGTACATAGGTAATGTGTTTAAATAGCTAATTCATAAATATAACCATTTATTGATAATTCTTGGGAGAAAAACTATAGAAATTAAATTCTGAAATTTTGACTGGCTTTGAATGAAGATTCTCTAAATCCACTCATTTTAATCACTCATCTTTTTATTAGCAGAATATTTGACACTTGATTGAGCAAGGGAAAGAACTTGTCATGGTTTTTGGTGTTCTCTCAATCTTTAGAGTTTTTTTTTTATTCCTTTTGTTTTTCTTTTTCCAAGAGTATGCCATATATGTTGCTGCCCCTTGTTTTAGGGGGTGGTAATAAACAGCACTGGTGAAATCTTATGTTTATTATCATACACAAATTCTGTTGGTTTCTGTTTCTGAGTTATTTGTTGTTTTTTCTTTATTTTTTCTCCTTCCCCCTCATTTGCTCATGTCTTGGTTGGCGTTTGGTGGTGTATAACCGTGATTGCGTTACCTTAGCAATAACAATTGGTCGTCTTGGTTACGTTTGTCCTCAAGAGGTGGCCCCCATGCTACAGCAGTTTATAAGACCCTGGTGTGTATTATTCAATCTTTTTTTTTTATTCATTTTTCTTCACTCTTTCTTTCTCTATCTCACTTTTAGATATATTTTCAGTTGGTTACAAAAATCACAATCCTTAAATCATTGCCAACCATGTGACTAATCTTGTCCTATCAGGTTCGTGAGGTTTTTCAGTAGCATCGTCATGTATATTTATTTTTATGTTGTGGCTAACGACTAATTTGATGCATGGGATAAGATTGTCACATGCTTGCTGTGTTATAAAGCTTGATTATATATAAAAAGCATTTAAATATTCACCAGAAAAATTAAGATGCATGCATTTTTTATAAATTTAGGTTTTTGCATTACGTTTCTCTTTTAAAATTAATTTGGAAACTTGGATTGCATTAAAGACATTTAAATTTGTTATGTATAATGTCTTATTTGCTTGTTAATGTAAAAGTTAAACATCTACACCATAAATTGTATATTAATAGTTTATATTGTGGCAGTATATCCTGTGTTCTGCTTCTTTCAATTGATAAACTTTCAATTCAAATCATTTTTAGTAGTGTTTAATGGAATATAAGTCATGATTCAATTTTTTAAATTAATGTGATAATTTACTAGTCTTGGCTTAATAGTTTAAGTGAAAAAATCAAATCAGCTGTCTTTTATTATAGATGTAGTCTATTAAGACAATGTGAATTTCACTGTTTCCACTATATTGTGATAAGTTAGGCCCAACATTCAAGAAGTATAAGAAAGTGAAACTTTCTGAAAAGTCTTATTCAATATATGAATTATCTATACTGTGCTTATTCCATTAAATACTGTCTACTAGTATTGTAATTGAACCTGCTTTTTACTTAAATGCTAAATTCACTTGTATAATTCAATAGGTGCACCTCTCTGAGAAACATAAGAGACAATGAGGAAAAGGATTCAGCATTCCGTGGGATTTGTACCATGATCAGTGTGAATCCCAGTGGCGTAATCCAAGTAAGGTGTTCATAAGAATTTGTTTTTAACTAGTATTGTTTTTGTTTGTTTGTTTATTTTTGTACTAGGGATTAAACTCAGGGTTTTGCGCTTGTGAGGCAGGCGCAGTGCCATTGGCTAAATCTCCAGCCCTAACTAGTGTTGTTTTGAATAATAAAATTCTAAAGGAAGTATTTTAAGACTTTAACTACAAAAACATTAATTTTTTTTCAAATATATTAAAACAAATATACATATAAAATGTTGTATTTCTTAGTCATCTTGAAATGATAATGCCTGTTTGTCATTAAATAAAATAGTAATAGTGTATTAGAAGTTAAGGCTATATTCTTGTCTTGAATTAGGCCAGGGCTGTTTTTTTGTTTTTGTTTTTAATCTACATGCAGACCTTATTTATTTATTTTGTACATCATGTCTCCCATCAAGGAACATCAATTTGCCATTGAAATTGCTTTAGTTTTGAGATTTTATCATTTATTCCTCTTTATTTTGTTTCCAAGCTTCATGTTACTCTTAGATATCTTAGTTACCTAACAACTGTATGAACCTAAGTCATGTCAAACTCGTGGATTCAAGTGGCAGTTTACTAGGCACACGAAACAGAAGAATATGCTGAAGTGCACCCACCATGTGTGTCCAAAATCAGAAAGACCCTAAGCTTAAAAGCTGGGCTCTTCATTAGACAAACTATAAAGAAAGAAACTGAACAGAAACCTATAGATTATGAAACACCCCAGGCATATGAAATCAGTCAGGAAATGTGTGGGGGTGTGCAAAATTTATTTTTATATTTACAGATGAGCACTTGAATAAAATATAAAATGTTTTTATGGCTGTAACTTTTGCATTTATTTTCAAGAAAATAACCTTTCATTTTCAGAAGAAAGATACTTTGAACATTTTTTAAATTGAAATCTTAATTCTTATATCGTGGGTTTTGTGACTCATTTTTAGAAGCAAATTATTAGCTTAAAAATTAAAGTTGACATTAATAGGTATGGAAAATGTACAAATTAAAGCTGATAAAGAACCTTTTGACTAATTTCATAATTATAAGAACATTAATTAATATCAGACAAACCAATATTACTTTAAGAGGAAAGATCCTAGTTGCAAAATAACCCAGCATCATAACCCAGCATCAACTTTCTGTTCAATACTCAAGAATTTTGTTTCATTTTATATGTATTTTAGAGTTATGTGATATGACATAGACCATAGTTTGATATAAGCATCTTCCCATCAGATTTGTTGTTGTTATTTGGTGTTTTGAGACAGGGTCTCACTATGCAGCTCAGGCTGGCCTTGAACTCACTGTGTATCCTAAGCTGGCCTCTTAATTCATAGCACTCCTCCTGCCTCAGCCTCCTGAACACTGAGATTACAGGGGTGCACCACCACACCCAGCTGTTTGTTCATTCTTTTTCTTTCTTTCTCTCTTTATCCTTCCTTCCTTCTTTCCTTCTTTTTGAATTACTTTTTTTTTTTTTTTAATCACAAATGTTATAACCAGGGATGGACAGCTTGCCACACTGCTGCTGCTGAAAATGCAGCTTCCAGCAATCCGAAGCCCACACCAATAAAGTACAGGAAAAAAATCAAAGTTCAGTACAATAAAAGATGGTTTAAGGGCTGGGGATTTAGCCCATTGGTTCCACCACCTGCCTCACAAGCGCAAGGTCTCATGTTCGATCCCCGGTACCAAAAAAACAAAATGAAACAATAAAAGATGGTTTAGTTGGCGGAAAAAAGATGGAACAGAAAGAGTATAGAGTACTACTGGAAGGTGGGTAGTAGGGGCTTCAGAACTGAAAGCCCACGAGCTCCTATCCCTGAGTCCTTTCATTGGAAGTAGTATCTTTCCCATCCCCCAGGTGGGTCCTTGTCATTTTCTGGTATCTTCCCTTGACTGGCTTTGATCTTAACCTAGACTGGCCATTTGGTTTCTTCCTGAACCTTTATAATAAGGGTGAGGGCTTATTAGGAGCATAGCTTAAGTTTAAGTAAAGGGGACATGTGTACATATGTATATTTGGTGTAATATTATAGTGATGTTAAATGAGAACATCTGTACATGTGCTCGTGTATGTGTGTGGTTGTGTGACATATTAAAGAGTGCCTGGGTGGTTATCTCTTACCACCCTTGCATTTGTCAAATGGGTGAGGAGAGCAGGCTTTCCTGGTAATTGTGTTGACCTCTTCCCCCAAGTCTAGCCAACTCTTCCTTTTGTCTTTCTAATTAACAGCCTTAACTGCAGAGTCTACTTGTAAGGGCAGAAACTGCTTTTTAATAAGTTTCTTTCTTTCTTTCTTTTTTTTTTTTTTTTTTTTTTGTGTGTGTGTGTGTGTGTGTGTGTGTGTGTGTGTGTGTGTGTGCCTGAGAGTGAACTCAGATCCTTGTGCTTATGCAGCAGGCGGTGTCACCAGAGCTAAATCCCCAGCTCCCTGTTGATCTTAATAAAAGCTCAAGGAGACCTTTATACTATCTTTTTCCTACCTACAAGGCCCCCTATACAAATATTAGTTGTTCTCTGTATTTAAATTTTTAGCCTCAGATTTCAAAGTGGAAGACATGGGAAATCATACTTTGAATAAACCAGTTTGAAATAGTTGATGTGTCAGAACATCAACAGTGTGTTGAATTAATATTTCAGTATAGACATTTAGAAATTTGAAGAAAGGAGCTAAAGGTGTAGGGAAGGTGTGATGCGTAGGGGAAGAACAAAAAGGGAAAAGAAAAAAATGTGAGAGAATGAAAAGATGAAAATAAAGTGTTTGTAGATGGGGAGGGGAGGAGGGGGTGAAGGGAGGGCAGAGGTAAGGGGAAAAAATGAGAATCAAGACTTGCCATGTAAGGGTACATGATCCCAACAATGAATGTAACTGTACTGTATCCCTAAAATGTACCAATAAACTCAATAAAATTAAAAAAAAAATATTTCAGTATAGTCAAGATTGGAAAAAATGGAGCAGGGAATGTTGCTCAGGGGTACAGTGCCTTCCTAGCAAGCACAAGGCCCTAGGTTCAATTCCTGCTACCAAAAAAGGAAGAAAAAACTTTTAAAAAGATGGAGAAAATATTTCTATGAAATAAAATATATTGTTACTTGTTTTTATAGACAGAATAACCTGATTATCTTTTGGTTGTTTATTTGAGAGTTGAGTTTTTCACTTTTGTTATAAGTTATATGGATCATAAAATTTAGAACTATTCGTGTATTTCTAATCAAGCTCTTAGTATATGCAGTTTTTATGTTGCTCCTAGGCCATTGTGCACTGTATTCTTAGTGAACCTAAGATTCTTGAATGCAGTTACTTAAGTATTTTTATTGGTCTTGACTTGGTGCTCTCAATGTTTAGCATTACTGATGCTAAACATTCATTTACTCAACAAGGATTTCCTTTATAGTATACAATAAGACATTAAATTCTTGAAGGTATAGTTTCTTGAAGGTGGACTAGTAGGAATATCCATTAAGTAGTAACTCAATTCCATACGATCTTAATTGGTTTTAAACTGTTTTCTTATCTAAGAGTCTATAGTTACATAAATGTCGAGGTTAACATATCTTTTGATGTGTTTGATCAGTAAAATACTAATCAGTGTTTCTTGTTTGTTACAGGATTTTATATTTTTTTGTGATGCTGTTGCATCATGGATTAACCCAAAAGATGATCTCAGAGACATGTTCTGTAAGGTAACTACTATGTCTTCATGATGCATCTTGGGACTGAAAATCCTAGTTTAAAAGTTTGTTATTTTTGATAATTTAATTTTAATTTAGACTTTGGCTCCTCAAGTCAGCATTAGTGAACTAGATGATCTCTGCTCTGAGTAACAATATGGCTTGGTCTTTTCTTAAAAAGGTATGGTAATGGCTCTGTCAGAAGACCAGGCAGTTTGAAAATACTTTACCACGCAGTATCACTGACTTACTGCAGTTCCATTATTCTGTGTATGGAAACTAGCATGTGTTTTCCAAGATGGATTATTAAGATTCGGAGTGTAAGATAAAACTGTTGAGCACAGTAAATTTAAGTGGCTGCCACAAAGATTGAGTCTGTATTTTTCTTTACTTTATTAATATTCCCTTTTGATTAATTTCATTCAGCACGTAGCTATAACAGAGTAAGAAATAAAACAGTTACACATTTGAATGACCTAATAGTGAAATTAGGGAGCTGTTTTGGCAGCCATGAGCCCGAAAATAAAATCAAAAGTGTTTGATATCAGAAGCTATACAAATTTGAGTTTTTCTCTTCTGTCATTGATAAATTAATGCTCTTTGCTCTTTGCAGATCCTTCATGGATTTAAAAATCAAGTCGGGGATGAAAATTGGAGGCGTTTCTCTGACCAGTTTCCTCTTCCCTTAAAAGAGCGTCTTGCAGCTTTTTATGGTGTGTAATCTAATACACTTAGGCTGCAGTCCCAAAATTAGGGGTAAGTTTTAAGAATTTTGGGAATTTTTAGAATGAAGAAATTTAGGACTTTAGTGTAAAACTGTTAAATAAACAGCTATATTCTGTAGAGGTTGAGTAAAACATAGTTTTGTACCATACTATATTGGACTTCAAAATCACTTAAGTGAAGGCTAGAGTATATTCTTAAAGAACCATTATGTATAGATGGTTTCCCCTTTGAGTCCTAAATAAAAAGAAATCCAGGTTAGTATATTACTTTGTTTCAATTTGGGGGGTGGTGTTAAAGGAATTTTGTCCTGAATAGGGATGTCATTCACAGTGCTGATATAAAAGTGATTCTCTTATTCAGCAAAGACTTTATGAATTGTGAGCTTTAGGGAAAACTCATTTAGAATTAAATGTTTTGCTCAGTAAATGCATTTAACATTCATTCTTCAACATACATACTTTATTGAGCACTACAATGTGCACAGCACTGTTTTAAAAATGACTAATGAAAAATTCAGTTTTGATTTTAGTTGGTAGAGAACTAGGTCCACTTGGACTCTTGTCTCTTGAGGTTCAGTGTTCTTAAGTAAGAGGAATAATTCTGATCTCTTTGGATCAAACTCAAGACCTTGCACTTGCGAGGCAGGCAGTGGAACCCACTGAACTAAATCCCTGGCCCAAATTCTGATCTCTTAACTTCAGTTTCCCTCATTTGAATTATGCTGAGGATTAAACTCTAAATAGTCTACAAGGTCAAAACCAAGTACATTCCCTAGCACACTGAATTGTCTCAGTAAATGTTGCAAACATGGATAATATAGTGAACCAATATTTTGGCAGAAAGTTTTAAGGTAAGTATCACTTAAGACCTACTTAACTGTAAAGCAGAGGGTGTACTGAATTTGTGTGTAGAAGATGTACACCAAATTGAATTATACTTTCTTGGGAACTCTTTTTAGTTGCTTGCTGCTTATCTAATCTGTTAGTTTGGTTTTTTTTGGGGGGGGGGTACCAGGGATTGAACTCTGGCCCTTGCAATTGGGAGCCGGGTGGCAGAACCACTTAGCCAAATCCCTGGCCCTCTGCTAGATTTTAAACCTGGGAGTATTTCTTAAGTTATCTAATCTAGAAGTCAGTAAAATGGATTTCCAACCTCAGAAATACTTCAGGGTTCTTGGTGTGTGTTCTCTTGCTTTGATCTTGAGTTCTTAAAGCTGTTCTATGGCTTCATCATTTTGAAAAGTGCTTGATTTCACACTTTGTTAAATCCTGAGATTGTGAGAATGCAGTAGGTAGGAATGGCTTAGTTTCTAAAGTTCAATAGTGAGTGAGCTGGTAAGTCGAGTTTCTTGTTTGTTTTTGTCAGATGATATAATGCCACTTGGGGTTTGTCTTGTTTTTTGTTTTGTTGTTGTTTTTTCTGAGCATTTTTTCATTTGTTACCTCTGTAGTTCTATCACCAATAGTGAATTAACTATAGTGATCACTGTTCTGAGGCAAAGTATGAAATAATTCGGTTTTCTAAAGAATCACTACTTTTTATTCCTGCATCTTTGTACTCCTCTTCCACTTTTTTAGAGACAGGGAAAAGGGGATTGTTTGTCCTCTGTGAACATACTAATCACCCTTTGAATTCATGCAAACATTCACAAATGTTTACCCTTTGACATAAGTTGGTAGTAGGATTTTGTTGTAAAAGGATCAGTATCAGGTAATACTTTAATTAGATAAGCCATTAATCTTACCTAATTTCTTATCTCCTTCCCATTAAAATTGTAATTTTAAAAAAGTGTATATCAGGAAAATTAAATGGGCTGAGAGCATAAGAAATAACCAGATGAAATAGGGTTGGAAGAATAGCTAATTGGAAACATTAGGATGGTTGTTAAAATTTACTTTTTGGTATTTGCTGAATGTGGTGACCCTAGTGTGGGAATGAACACTTAATGGCATTTCCACTGAAACATCAGACAGCTAAAAGTAAATACATTTTTGGCTTTTGATGGTGGATTGAAATTTTCTTTCCTTGATATTTGGTATCCTAGAAAAATGGGCAATGTTTTAATTTTTCTAGAAATAAATCCTAAAGAAAGTGCTATTTAATTTTGAAGAAAAGTAGAGTGACTTGTGAGTTCTCAGTTCATAATTATGGGGCTCATTTTTCAAAAGGGTATAAGAGACAGATGGCATTGTATAAAGCATATTTCCTCTGTACAAAGCACTACATACCCAGTTGTGTGACCTTACCTTTAGCCTTATTCTTCATTCCTGATGGAGGTGACTATATGGTCATAGAAGAAAGAAATGCCATGGTTATAACTACTTTAATCTTAGGCAGTTTGTCCATTTTCTTATTTTTTATAGGTAAAGATAGCATTGTTATTTAAGTTTATGCTCCACTGGCTCAGAAAGAGGCAGGTGTTAAAGATGAAATTATTTTGTTCTTTTTCTTCCAGGTCCTCCGGTCTTGGAGACTATGAGGGAGCCTCTGTACCCAGGGAAAATGTTACCCTTGACAGGGGGGAAGGGTAAACCAGTAGGGAATACAGTACAATCCCAACCCTACTGGGAGGGGCGGGAGGGAGGTGTTGCCGTCACTGTATTAAGTCGATGTTGGGAATCGTTTTAACATCTGGAGCCTTTGTGGGTGGAAATCTGTCTCCAGTTACAACTCTGCACTGGATGTGAAGAAGCAAAAAAACAAAAATATATATATATATATATATATCTATTCGGTCTTTTCACAAAACAGTACATCCTGGAATATTACGGGAAAATTGTACCAAAACAAGAACCATATAAATGATGCATAGGGAAAAGAAAGAGGAAAAATTCTGTAGCGCACAATAAAAGGAACCTGAGAATGGGGGTTACATACGGTAAAGAAACTTTTTAATTTAAAGGTTTTTATATAAATGTTCCCACGTTATGAGGTTGTGTTTTGCATGCTGATAAAGAACAAAGCTAATAAAGTTAAAATCAGCTTGCCTTCCCATAGTAGAAGCAGGTTCTTAGAAATTACAATTTAAAGTATCCCCGGAAAATGTTGGAAATAAAACAAAACAAATTTGAACAATGAAGTACCCTGCGAAATGCCAAATGAGTCACTCCTTTTACCTGTGTGGGGTGGGCAGGGAGGGAGGTATAGGTGGGGTTGGTCATATCAAACTAAAGTTGACATCTTAATTTTACATTAAACATTAGTGGATATAATTTGATGGTTGTACTTCATTAAATTTAATTTCTAGGCCAATGCATTGTTTTAAAGTGCAGTTTAAGGTTCAGGCATGCATTCTGGCTCATAGTGATTGAAAGTAATTTAAATTAGTGGGAAAGTAGCATGCTTGCATCACATAGAGTGAGGTTGGTATTCATTTACCTATGTTGCGCCAGTTTGTCTTGCAGTTTACCAATTCAATTAGCCCTGCATTTAAAATTTCTTTAAGATTTGTGGATTTTATTTTTATTAAGAATATAGGTATATAAAGTACTGTAGTTTACAGCTAGGCCTTGAAATACCATTTTAGGATCTGTTAGGAATAAGATTGATATTGTATTGTGTGTAACCTGCACAATGTGGAAAGCTGATATACCTGTGCAAAATCTGCCTCTGTGCTGTCAGTGTGATGTGCTTTCTGCATGGTTATATACTACTAGTGATTTTATCAAAACTTCTCAAATTTAAATTACATGATAAATGATCTGTAAAAGGCTGCACAATTGTTAGTTGGCACCTAAGGACAATTGTAGAGGTTGAAAAATGATTGCTATAATTCATTGTTTATTCCCACTCAACATTGCCTTCTAAGCTTTCTTTCTTTTGTTGTTTTGTTTTGTTTTGTTCAAAGCATGATCTTAAAGATGTTTAAGTTAATGGATGTAATGCAGGGTTCCTACACTGTATTGGCGCATGTTGGTGGCCCTCTGTGCCCTAAAGATAATGCACACGGGGTGCAAGTTAAAAGCTACAGAGTGAAAGTTGGTTTGGATCCTCTTCATTTCATTTGTTTAGCTTTTCTGTTGTTTTTCTCTACTTACATGTATTCCTGTGAATAAATCCTGTTAAGTTAATCCTTTACTTTTCCTTTCATGTGTAGTTTCTTATATACTGTGAATGTGAAAACCTAACTGGTACACTTGATCCTTTGTCCATATGAAAGTGCAAGTCTTTATTAATTTGGATTGCCTGAACAGTGTGTATCCCATGATGATGAAGGAAAATGGAGAGATTTTTCTTTTTAACTCTGCTGGTCAGAGATGAAGCCACGCCTTTCCATTTTTCAATGCTGCATATTTAATCTGCAACAGAAAATGTTAAGCCATAACAACCTTTTTATATTTTAGTTTGTCACCTTTGCATTGCAGAATAAATACTGAATAACCATTTTTATAAGCAGTTGCTCCTCTTTGCATGGTTCTATTCTCTAAAAAGTATTGAATGATACAGCCATTGCACTGACATTTGAGCTGTATGTGACTTTATGAATACCTTTTCAAAAAATTTCAGATGCATGGTAGCATGCAGAAAGGTTTTTGTTACTGTGCGTTTTTTTTAACATGTTCTTTCACCTTTTCTCTACTTTGGCTTTGCAAATTTCACTCTTTTGAGCCTGAAATTAATCTTACAATGCCCGATTTTTTAAGAATTACTACAAGTTAGATTCAAATATATATGGCATTGTGCTTTCTAGTTCAGTTTTATTGGGAGCTCAGAATTTGCTTCCTGGTTAATCTAAAACCTGAGTAGGATAATTATTTTGTCCTTAACTATAGTGATACCTTTTAGAATTTAATATGGGTAACTTTAATATTCTGGAATAGGAGAGTAAATATCTTTTAAGAGATGGCTAAATTCCTCTCTAAATTCAGTAAAAGAAGTACATAAAAACCGTCAATAAATTTATCTTAACCTCTGATTAACAATTCTGTATTTATGATAAAAGGCGATATTAAAAATTAATATTTTACTTGGTTAAAAATTAGTTTCCAGTTAGGCAAGTGGGTAGCATCATAATGTGCCCATTTTGTAGTCTCTCGGCCTGTTTCTATATTTAAAGAAATTTTAGTTTTAAAATAGAAAATAAAATTAAGTGACTATAACTAGCAACCTGATAATGGGTTAAACTTTTATTTTGTGTTTTTCCCATTGAGATTGTTGTTTCTTCTTGACTTATACTATGTTTCAGATAATGTAGTATAGCACAGGAATTTGCAGAAGCCATTTAAGTTATCTTTTGAGGTAAGCTCTAATTTAGCATTTATTCTGATTAAACTTAATACATCATGGGATATATATATATATATATATATATATATATAAATATAGTGCTGAGACTTAAACCAAGACCCCACACATGCTTGGCAAAGTGAGCTGTCTTGTTACATTCCAGTGTTTCTGCCTCTTGGCATGCATAAAGCACGGCTTACTTCTTCTGCTCCTTACACACTAAAATGCTATTAGTGTGGTCAACTACAGAAATAGCCGCTGCTAAGTGATGTAGATTTTCTACTTGAATATTTTTATGTTGTAGGAACCTCAGGAGGTCAGTGTTTACTGTTTTATATATGCCTTCTTTTTCCTGTTTGAGCTTCTCTCTTTGAAGGATTCTAACAGAACAAAAGCTGCTGATCAACCTAAGTTGGAAACAGAAAGTATGTTTAATATAATTTAAATGCATGTTTGGCAGTTCCATGTTACAGACCATTAGCAAGTGAACTTAGTGCCACAAATATTCATTTATTCAGGAAGTAATTTTGCTTTTTGTATTGTCTAATAATAATGACTTCATATTGTGTAAAAAAAAACACTTTTATATTTTTTAGTTGGTTATTTCCAAAATAACCAACATGTAAATATCTTTAAGAGCCAGTTCCGATGCTTTACATTATTGCTACTTGATTTTGTTAATGCAAGTTAGATTTCAGAAGACCTAAAACACTTAACCAAGCCATTACATCTTAAAAACAAAACAAGTAGCTTTTTTTTGGTAATTAACATATTGATAAAACACTGTGATTTTTTTGGTTAAGACTTTTTCATTGATCGAATTGCTTAAATTGCATATATTGTAAAATAATATCAGATGTATATTTTAAAATAATTTCCACTGACTTTCCTCTTGAAATGCTTTGTCTACTCAGTTATAGAATATTATGATACAAGTTTTATCTCAGGTGACTACCTTTGTATCGTTTTTGCTTTCATGACATGTTTATAAAGGGTTATCACACTTAGCCTTTTTATTTTTTTGCATATTGCATATAATAATATCAGATGTATATTTTAAAATAATTTCCACTGACTTTCCTCTTGAAATGCTTTGTCTACTCAGTTATAGAATATTATGATACAAGTTTTATCTCAGGTGACTACCTTTGTATCGTGTATCGTACTTTGTTAGTACTTCAAAAACCCACAGCTTTGCTTACTGAATTATTTTTGCAAATATTACAAGGGAAGAAAACACTAATTATTGCTACTAGTACTGTTGGCATTGGAATCTGTAAGAAAATAGTCCTCAAATAGTTACGGGCCTGGGATAATCTAGGTAAAATATTAGACCCATAGTGAGTTGTGTTAACAATATTATCTAGTATTAATACCATGCAGTAGCCAACTTAGTGCATTTCGTACTGTATTAAATATGGCAATACTTCTAATGATTCTTTTAAATTATATTTCACGTGAAATTTTGCTTTCATTCACCTGTATACTTGCTGGGTGACTTGTGACTAATCTTTTCAGTCTTATATAGATCTTTCCCCATTGGCATTATATATGTATAGATAATTCTTTATGCCTAATTATGCATATTAATTTTAAGGTATACATTTAAATTGTAGCAACTATTTTGTTGTATCCCAGAGTGTGTTGTGTTTAGATAAAAAGATGCATAACAGCTAAATGTATGCATGATTTTGAGGGAAGTTTAAAAATTGTGATTTTTTTTTCACTTCTTGTATATTTTAAAACCAAGCCAAATCTTACTTGCCAAGCGGTATATCACTAAATAGAAATGCCAGTAGTTTTCCTTTTATGTTTTATTTACCATAGAATCCCCTAATACTGTGTCTGATCATACAGAATTGGCTATTTTACAGGTCTGATTATCTTATTCAAAGCTTGCTATTACATGGTTAGCCTGTAAGGTGGTGTTGGTCCCCTCCTGATAATGTCAGCCTCATAAAGGGTTCCACTGTACTTTTCCTCATACTTCATTGATTTCCTGTGTGGGTATACTAGGGTATACTACCAAATTGAGCTTGGTGGATTTTTATGAAGATAATAATTAGACAATACTGTATAATAATTAACTACTCGATAAGATTATTTTGTGAGAAAGATATTTAAATGTGGTAAATGACTTCATATTATAAAGCAGTTTTACACTTAATATTCATGTTAACATTGGGTGCAATAATTTAGTAGCGTTAGCTTTAGTTATAAATAACTGGATCTTTCTGCTGACAACTTAGGTTGTATGAGTTATGCTTAAGAGCTTTAAATCTGATGTTTCCTGTACTTGCCACACTATGTTAGAATGCGTCCTTCAAACATATCCTCCTGCATTTTCTCAAACTGTACTAAATTGATAATTCTTGAAGTCTAACTCTGTGCTTACAGATCTTCATTTTAAATAGAATACGGTTTTAATTTTTGATAAGCTGCTGAATTTTAAAAGAGTTTTTTAGGGCCACCAAATATTTTGGATCATGCAGAGAATATATATTGTACTGTAGTAATTTTTGTATTTACATTTGTATGATGTGACATAATAGATGTGAATGTTAATCACTGCTTGAGTATGTTAATAAAGTTGTTTAACTATAGATGTTGCACTCTGATTTTTGATGAAAGAAAATGAACTTTTTTTCTCCACCACCCTCCTTTTGGGTCCTAATAGGTCTTAAGGTTTCTCTCTCTCTCTCTCTCTCTCTCCCTCCCCCCCCTTTTTGTTTTCTTGTTAAAGGTGTGTTGTTTATTCTTAGTTTACTACACTCTACTGTCCAGCATAATTTGCTTTTTTTAAATTGAGTGTTATTTATGTAGTATATTTATGAAACCTGTATTCCCTACATTTTCACTTACTCCTGTAATTGGTAAGTTTCTAAACAATTGTTTCTAGGTTCAGTTCAAAGGTGATGAGATGCTAGGGAAATTATAGGTAAAGCTGTGAATATAAAAACATAGATGTAAGGGTAGATTGCATGCATGAGTGTGTATGAATGTGTATCCTTTTATGGCTTTTTATCCTTGAAATTAAGGCTTACAACTTTGGAAATTAACTTTTATACAGGTTATTTTTCTTTGGGTTGTTATCTGTTAATAGTTGCATGTCACTAATTGAAGTGTATTAATATGTTTCAGGAAATATGTGTACATAACTTAAGTCTTCTATTTGAGAATTTAAAACATTTTAGAACAGGAAAAGACAAATTTGAAGTACCGTACTTGCGCTAATAGGCAAACAATTTAGAACTTGAGTATTGTGTTCTAAAACACATCTTCAAAAAAATCTAAGATTCCTGAATTTGGAACTTAAATAATGAAAGCAGTTCATTAAAATCAGCTTAATTATTAGTTCAAGGTTCTAATTAGCTGCTACAGTCTTAAATTGTGCCTGAGCTAAAGATCTTTTTCTCTTGTAAATCTTCAACATTTTACTGAAACAAAAGTCCTATCTACTTTATGCAGATGAGTCTCAGTTCAAGTGACTATATTAGTGATAAAAGATGGCTCATCAGTTATTGTGTAATTTCATAATCTGACTGCAGTTTACACGTAATTATTTAGGAATCATTGGGAAACGTGGCAACTGAACTACACAGCTCAGACTTTGGATTTTTCTCTGTACTGTGCAGTTAAATATGGAAATTATAGATGCTGTAGTTGCCATTTGTAGTCTTAAATCTCCAAGTCTCATGTTAATTTGATGGGAAAATTTAAGAACCTCCTAAAACATCCAGTGTTCAACTGTTTGCAGATTACAGTTTAGAAATTAATTTAACATGATTTCTAATGCATTGGCAGTAATGCACAGAATTGCTATACTAAGAAATGAGAACCAAGTCCTATCATGTAAAGGTACAAGATCCCAATAATAAATGTAACTGTACACCTAAAATGTACCAATAAACTCAATGAAAAGAAAAAAAGAATTGCTATACTAAGAATGCTAGGATTTCTGCCAGTTATTAATACAATTAATTTCTAGGAATTTAAAATTTAAATACTGTTTTTATATTGGCTTTTCAAGAGTTTCATTAAATGACAAGTAAACAATTTTAAGTGAATTTTGACAACTATACAGTGATACGATATTTCTGCACATAGGAATATGCGGTTGAGATGATACATCCTTCTCTTTGCTGTTTGTTTTTGAGTTAGGGTCTTGCTGTGTACTTCAGGCTGGCCTGGATATTTTCTCTGTAGCCCAGGCTGGCCTCAAACTTGTGGCGGTCTTCCTGCCTCAGCCTCCTGGGTACTCTGATTATAGTCACCATGAGTGTTGCCATGCTTAAACACTTGACACATCTACACTGATTCCAAGTCTTAGGCTGCAGACACTGTTCACTGCCCTCATGTAGTTTACATTCTACTGTAAGAAGAGATATGTAAAATAGAATGTTACATGATGGTAGGATCAGCTTGCTATTTCTCATGGATTGAGGAGAGATGGATGAGAGCCTAAAGGTAGCATTTGAGCAAAAACTTGAGTGAGCCACACAGTACATTTTGAATCATGAGACTGAAAAGTAACACATTTCAATACGGAAATCAAGACCTGGAGAGCATGGTATTTAAGTCATAGACAAAGTAAAAGGACTGAGAATTCACTTCGCATTTAACAAAAGTGGAGGTCACTGTGGCAGATTTTTTAATACCTATATGAATCAGTATCTCCTCAATAAAAACCCTAAAAGCCAGGGATTTAGCTCAGTGGCACCATTCCTGCCTGGCAAGTGCACAGTCCTGAGTTCAATTCCTGGGTACCAAGAAAAAAAGAGACCTTCAGTTTCCATCTTCACAAGAATAACTTAAGTGGCTTTGATATCCTCAGAATTGAATTAAGAAATTGACATGCTTGTAAAACATGATCAAAGGGCTTAAGAGATTACTTACCTAAACAATTACCAGTTTACAGTATTTAAACATCTCAAAAGGTTTAGTAACACATTTTTGTAACTAGGTGATTCTGTATTTTAGAGTTCATGAAAGGTGGGGGTTTTGTTTTCTTTTTGCAGTACTGGAGATTGAATCCAGG